CGATCATCAGAAATGCGGACGCAACTTTTTGAGCCATTTCCTCCTACTGTAGCCGGATTACGGTAGGCAGGTGGGCGCCTGCGTATCTAAGTATTGAAGAGTTTTTTTACTAGGCAAGTGATATATCAATCGATAGGTAATCAAATTTTTAAAAAAACTTTTTACAGTACATACCATCTTAAGTTACTGTAGGAATTTTTCGAGTTACGGTAATTTTTTTGTGTTTTGGAAAGTAGGTTTTTCGGTCACCCTGGTCGTGGGCGTAGAATCGCATCGTAATTACTCACATGGAATATGTCTTGTAGTATGTTCTAAACAATGCCACAAAAAAAAGTTCGAATTTCTAAACCCGTCATCTCGAGATTTCACTCCGAACGCGCGCAACTTGGCACTTGGCGGCCAGGGTTGGTCGGGGTTGACGATTTTTCACATTTTTCTTTTGTTAGATATTGGTGTAAACCTTTTTTAGATTATAACTACAGTATGTTTTGTAACATTCAAAGTGGTTTGAAGAGATCTGTACGCTACATATTTGGCCGAAACTTTGTTTTGAACTCTATTTTCGCTTGAAAAAACGCGATTCGCTTTGAAAAGATGGGTTTTTAAAAATTTCCGGCAGTCCCGCAGTTTCCAAAGCTATCAAATTAGTAACTGACATATTCTATGTAAAAATTTATATAGTTTTGTTCAAGTTTTACCGTACCCGTCCAACCGAAATTTACCTTTGAACTTATTATTGGCCTAAAAAAGCAATATTTGCTCTGAAAAAACCGGTTTTTGAAAATTTCCAACTTTACCGCTATTTCCAAAGCTTTCAAATATGTAGCTGACATCTTCAAGGTGCACATTCATGAAACTTTGCTTGACTTTTGTCGAACCCGTCTGGCCTAAAGCTCTCTCTGAACCCTATTTTGGCTTCTTCGGTGGGTTTGAGGTTGGACTTTGAGCCTCGTAGCTTCTTTCTCATCCGTACATCGCAAGAAGTAACGTTTTTATGCAAAAAAGCCTAACAGAAATTCAGCTGCCAAAATTTCGTCACCGTTGGCAGAATTTTGAGGCGCTGTTGCGCTCCACCGATAACACTCGCCAGAGGCAGAATTTTAATTCTAGTTAACTGTATTCAGGATTTATTATTGTTCTACTTTTGTTTCTAATTCTAATTATGTTTTTTACTCGCTGTTTGTGACGACTGCAGGATTTTTAAGTCATTTGAGAATTTGTTTTATCGGAAAAATTAACAAAAGTTCATGACAAAAAACTTTTCATTCGTCAAATAGCCGAAACAATGTACATTCAGAATTATAATCCAAGGACTAAAGAAGAAACTTGAAAAAAATACATCAAAAGCTTTGAATTGCGATTCTATCTTACCTTCCTGAATAAAAACCTTTTCTAGAGATGTTACATCTTTTTTTTTCTAAAAAATGATCTTTCATTTATACAACTATCTTTCCAATTGTTCAATTTGAAAAATAGTAACATTCTCAAAAAACTTGTGCTACGAGGCTCAAAGTCCAACCTCAAACCCACCGAAGAAGCCAAAATAGGGTTCAAAGAGAGCTTTAGGCCAGACGGGTTCGACAAAAGTCAAGCAAAGTTTCATGAATGTGCACCTTGAAGATGTCAGCTACATATTTGAAAGCTTTGGAAATAGCGGTAAAGTTGGAAATTTTCAAAAACCGGTTTTTTCAGAGCAAATATTGCTTTTTTAGGCCAATAATAAGTTCAAAGGTAAATTTCGGTTGGACGGGTACGGTAAAACTTGAACAAAACTATATAAATTTTTTTACATAGAATATGTCAGTTACATATTTGATAGCTTTGGAAACTGCGGGACTGCCGGAAATTTTTTTAAAAACCCATCTTTTTCAAAGCGAATCGCGTTTTTTTCAAGCGAAAATAGAGTTCAAAACAAAGTTTCGGCCTAAATATGTAGCGTACAGATCTCTTCAAACCACTTTGAATGTTACAAAAACATACTGTAGTTATAATCTAAAAAAGGTTTACACCAATATCTAACAAAAGAAAAATGTGAAAAATCGTCAACCCCGACCAACCCTGGCCGCCAAGTGCCAAGTTGCGCGCGTTCGGAGTGAAATCTCGAGATGACGGGTTTAGAAATTCGAACTTTTTTTTGTGGCATTGTTTAGAACATACTACAAGACATATTCCATGTGAGTAATTACGATGCGATTCTACGCCCACGACCAGGGTGACCGAAAAACCTACTTTCCAAACACAAAAATTACCGTAACTCGAAAATTCCTACAGTAACCTAAGATGGTATGTACTGTAAAAGTTTTTAAAATTTGATTACCTATCGATTGATATATCACTTGCCTAGTAAAAACTTTTCAATACTTAGATACGCAGGCGCCCACCTGCCTACCGTAATCCGGCTACAGTAGGAGGAAATGGCTCAAAAAGTTGCGTCCGCATTTCTGATGATCGGTTATCACACTGGAATAAGTTTCATCAGAATCAAAAAATAAAATTTTTTTTTGTACCCGTTGCTTTTGAAACTTTTTGAAAATAACAGAGACAGCGTGTTAAGTCTTTTAAGATTGCCCTTAAGAGGGGTTGAAAATTAGTAGCCACTATAGAGGTCTAAGGGCTACTACTAGACCACTAAAAATTTTAGTGGCCACTTTAAGGGTCAATGTATCAACATAACTGGTCCAATCGGTTTGTTTTAAAGTTATCAGAGTTACTGGAAGAAATACTGGGTGAAAGGAACACTGGATGGAAAACTACTGAAGAGAACCTCTATAGTGGCCAATAAAACGGAAAATAGTGGCCACTTTAGAGGTGGGTTTAGTGGCCACTTTAGTGTCCTCTCCAAGTAGCCCTTGGCGAGCTTCTATAGTGGCCACTCAAAATTTTCCCAGTAAGCTTGAATATCGACTACACTTTTTTTGTCAATATGTACCCCGCATGAAGGAAGAGAGAAACGAAAAGTCGATAGAGCTGATTGGGATGATCCTTGTTGAAGAACGGCAGCATTCCACAAACGTCCGACAAACAGTCGACCTGGAAACAATTTTAGTTATGATTTCGTAGCTCTTGATGAAGAAAAAAGCGGAAACCTGACTACAGAGAGTCGCATTTTCGTGGTAATGTCCTCGGACAAAGGTACAGTATTCTTTGGTAGTGATTCGACAAAGACCTTGAACTTGGATGCAACACGGTCGGCCGGTCACCTAAAATCAAAGTTCTCAACTTTCACATGGAAGGGCGATGATGAAATTTTTGCTTTTGAAAACTTCAACTTATTCAAATAAATTATTATTGATCAGAATGTTTCTTTTCTCAATAGTAGCTGTCAACGTTCCCAAAAAGGATTCGCTATTTTTGCGCAGCTAAATTTGGGACTGTCACTTTCAAACTATTCGAATTGGGTCTGCCATTTTTGCACAGTTGCATTTGGAGCTGTCAAAGAAAAATGGGAGCAGTTCGAATTCAGAGAGTAAATCAACAATTTCGCATAAATTCTGTTCAAAGTTTGGATTTGAAGCCATAAATAAAGCTTCGCCCAAGAATACCGGATCATTCAATCAGAAATAATGTTTTTGTATGACGTCATTTCACTTGAAACTATAAAATTGAACAGACTTCACGAACTACAACTTTCCAAGCACAGTTTCAGAGTCAGCATAAAAAAAAGATGAAGTCAAAATTCTCTGACCAAAACGCCGAAAATTTTTTGCTTTATAAAGCTTCCAAAAAATTTCGAGATAGGGAGCATTATGAAAAACCGACCGGACACGTCATATGACGTGGAAGAAAGCCACCGGAGCGCGTTTTTGTGCAAATCTGTAAGTTTTTAACGATTCGAAACACGACTTGAATGAAACCGCACCGGCCACTGAGTCAAATCATCAGGCCACTCTGATAGCGCGTGAGATTGAGGCTCATCACAGTACCTGAACAAATTATGAACATTTCTGATTTATCAAAAAATCTGTGCGCGGAAATTCTGAATTTTTTGCCTACAGTTTTGTCAAACCAGTATGTACACTTTGTGAGAAAAAACAAAAAAAAAATTTGACTAGTTTCTTTTTGGAGCCTAACAAAGGGCCAACCATAAAGTTCCTCTCTTTAAGGGGGAGCCTGATGGTTCCGATGGAACTTTTAAAAATAAGTTGAGCTACAAAAAAACCGACTCAGGATCCTGTCCACAAACGGGGCCAGAGGTCCGTCGAACCAGGGGACCGCCTTTCTGGTCCCAACGATTCCAAGTCGCCAGACTTCTCTGGAAAAAGCTTGTTTTCATGGAAATGCATTTTGAATACACCAATTAATTCAATATTATTTATTTTTTTCTCGCTATGATTGGCTTTTTAAATAAATGGCTACCATTTTTTTAAAGGACCCATTATTTCAATAAAGAATAATTTCTCGTTTAAAATCTTGAATTTAGAATTTTAACTTTACAAAAGACAAAAAAAATCAGTCGTAAAATATTGAAAAATAAAAATGTGTATCAGAGCATTTCTCTTGAAGCTTACTTAAAAAGGAAAACACGATTCAAATCTAAAATTTCAGATTTATTTTCAAAAAAAAACTGAGAGACACATGATAAATGTAACACATAGAAATGACGATTTTTTGATCCACTTTTCTATTTTTTACCGACAACAAAAAAACCAACCGGACACGCATTTTTTCCAGTTTGATAGCACCCCGAATTGTCGTTATAAATACAACATCCGGTCTTGTTCTCCTGTTGTCTTTCCTATGAAAACGTATCTCATTGCTTTTGTTGTTTGAATATCTCGAACCTCCTCAATGACTTTCCAGAGATTTCTTTCCCGGCGCATACAAGGCGAGTATTTGGCGCCAAGACGGATTAGATCAGCCTAGGAGGGCAAAAATGAAGACTTTTTCGAAGGGAAAACATACAAAATTGGGGCCCATCCAAAAATGGACAGGTTCATGGAAGCTGACGCGCCGGTAGGTCAACGTCGTGTCCATCACTTCTCCGTGTTTTTCGACCCGATCCAGGCCGAAAGGTCCGAGTCCGTAGAACAGAATGGACATTAGACACACCAAGATCTGGATCGTCGTTACCCAATACGTGAAAAACACTCTGGAAAAAAAAACCTCGTGTTGAAAATAATTTCCCGAAAGGACTTTTTCTAGCCTAAAGACCATTCTAGAAAAATTCCATGCTGGGTTATTTGGAAATATATCTGATGACTTAAAAATAGAAACTCAACAAGATGGTATAAGTATTTCAAAATCAATTTTCTACTGGCCATTCTGGAGTATTTATTTAACAGTTGGATTCGAAATTTTTTGGAGCTTTTTATTTTTAAACACATGATTTTACTATGCTGTACATTTCTCGCCAGCTTTTTCTGTCAAGAAAACCGTATAAACTTCGTTTCGAGACCATTTTTGCAGTTCTTTAAGGGTCTCGTCGCGAGAGCGTAAAAATAGCTTTGATTACGGTAGTCCATATTTCCGAAACGTGACCTTGTGCGCAGATTACACTATAGATTATGAAGTCAAAAGCATTCAAACGGTAAAAATCTTGAAGGTTTATTTCAGGTAAGACAATTTTCAGACGACTCTGAACATCTGCTTGAAATCGCTCTTTTAGAAACTAAATTCCCATCTATTCGACTTTTCATATCTTTCTTTCTGCTCTAAAATTCTCGATTTTCCGCCAAACTTCGAACCTTTCGTCCTCGCCCTCCTCGATACGATTTCGGAGATTTTCGGGCAGTCTGGACACTTTGGACTTTTGGAGGTTTCGGCCGATACATCGGCCAAGTCTTCCGATCCCTCGGATCCTGGCTTTTTTTCGATGTTGCCTTTGCTCGGGGTTATGCTTTTGGACAGCCTATATCATCAAAAAAATTGACCTATGACCTCAGAATTCAGGAAAACCATGGCAAAACGATCCATGTGAGCTTCCAAAAAAGCCGATCGGTCGATTGATTTTTGTCGCTGGAGCATTTTTCGGGTCGCGGTTGAATCAATCTTGAAAAAAGAGCATGAGGATCAGATTTTCTGAGCTGAGATATACTGTGAAGCATTCAATCTCCATCCTAAGAAATCCCATTGCTTCTGGTTTTTAGTCGATTTACAATGCCTCAACGGCGGCAAATACAACTTTTCGGTCCCAAAGTCACAAAACTCGACTAAAGCCAAAACATGAAGAAATTTTTTCTATAGAGGTTACATTCAAAATAACGGAATAAAAAGTTGTTTTTTTGTTCATTATTTAGGAATATTTCGAATTATTCTTAGTTTCCAATTCTTAAGAAAACCACGTACAGTCTGAGAAGTTGGCCGGTCGGGTTCTCCAACTGAAGGCGCAATCGGATGAGGACCAAGTCTTGCTCGCTGAGCTCTGACGATGTGAGCATCTCCGAGGGCTGGAAAAAAGGAAAACAAAATTCAAAAGCTAAAATCGAAATTCCCTGTGAGGCCTTCTGGTGCAGTTCAAACAAATTTTTCATTCTTCTGTATTTTACAGGTTTTCGATTGGTAAGTTCTATTCTTCGTTAAAAATCGGGACTAATTGAAAATAAAACGACTGGATAAACAGCAAGACGTGAGGTTACTTCAATTGAGAAAAAAACGAGTGTGACTGGGAAATGTCTAATTCATCATTTCTTCACCTGTATATTCGCAGTTTAATATCCATCTTAGCAAATTTCTTTCTGAGGTCATCAAAGACGGAAACGTCGATCGAAAAACTAGTCATTTTTCTCTTATTTTCTTTCAAACAGAGCTTTATCGTTACCGATTCTCGAAATTCCTGCGACATCGCTCATCGCAAAAGGCTGCGCGGCGAGGGGAGCCCCATCGATGGACGGGACGTCATCTGGGACGACGTCGAAGACGAAGGGCGTCCTTGGAGGCGATGCCGCGTCCGGATGGTAGGCGTCGACTTCCTGCGGCATCAGGCTGATCCGCATTGGTTTCGCCGGCGTCGGCGGAACTTTGTCGAAGAACATTTCTTCGTTCACCGAGACTGTTTTCGACGACATCACCTGCGAAAACGATTCTCATCTCTTTAGTTCATTATTTTTATTTTGATTCCCGAAGTTTCAAGAATGAGGAGGATAGAACTCAAATCACCATTCTTTCAACCAAATATGAAATTATTCTTGCTTTTATGGGTACCTATTTCCGTTAAAAATGCTAAAAACCACCGTTTTCCACTAATTTTGAGTATTACTGTACTGTCATATAAGGTTGAGAGTGTACTATAAAATTGAAAAAATTAAGTTTTTTTCACAGAGGTTATCAGACACTGATCATGAGACACTCTCAATCAAAATGAAGCGACATATAGGTAAGAGCCCTTCTTGAATACCTTGTGATGCTTCGACGTCGGCTGGGGCGTTGGAGGCACACCGGGATTCTCATGAACTCCCTTTCCACCATCGGCAGACGTCTTCTTCCGGCTCAAGGTTCTCTTGAACGACTTGAAGGGCCGGAGGATCTTGGTCTTGAAGTCCTGCTCCGCCGACTGAGCTTCCATAGCTTCGACAGCACTGGCCGGAGCTCGAGTTTCGGGGATCTCACGGCCGGGAAAACCTTGCGGCAGGGACTTGGAATGTTCCTGGAAGAATTGGAAATATCGAGAAGTACTGAAAAAGGGAAGGATTCTTCATAAAACCCTACTTCAAAAAGGTCTTTTCTGTGTTATTTCTTTGGAATGACTCAAAGCGATGCGGTCGCATTGTGCTCAACTTATGGCTACTCTACTCCTTAATAAAGCGAAAGTAGCTTCAAGTCGGACGCGCTGAAGTGAGTTTTCTGGCAAATAGCATTGGTTTAAGGTAAGCGCAACGTCCTGAATAGCCTATTGAACTCAAAAAAAAAAAACTCAACTAGAAGTATAATTTTGCGTTTGAATAAGATTAAAAACAACTTCCGCTCAAAAACGCTTAAAAAATGAACCAGAAGAGTGGATCCCTGCATCAAATCGCTCGGCCTCCTGATGTCTTCGTCAAAGGTTTTGTAACGTTGAATGGAGGCCGGTTGGGACTTGGAATGGGGTATCCTCGAAGATTTCCCTTCATCTTCTTCGCTGGGCCTTTCTTTCTGAAAGCCTTGTTTTGAAGACAGGTAGGATATTCCGAGTAAAAAATAAGAATCAATCCAAACAAGAACCAAAGAAACAGAAAAATAATAACAAAGTGGCAAAACCGGCGTGATTTCGAGGATCGTGCTCTTTCCTAATACAAAACAAAAACTCACGTTTGAATATATCTCGTCTTTCAAGTCATATTTGCAACTTTCTAAAAAAATTGATCCTATGATGCAAAAAGAAAAGATATGTTTGATGATGAAAGATCGCAATTTTTAGAACCTTCCCACTTACATTATAAACGAGTCAATCGCTCAAGCTATTCAAATTTTGTGCAAAATGCCAATATTCTATTGAGGACGAAAAAATTAGCTTTTCAATCAAAAATAGACAAAAGTTAGCCGACAGAGAGAAAAAAGTTAGTAGATGACGAAGCTGAAAAAAATTCAAAGTGAAAACGAGAGATCGAGGGCGGTTGGAAAGACGAGATAGTTCTTCGAATTCTCTGCTTCTCTGTCTTCTCTTCAGGCCGCTTCTGTTCTCTCGTTCTCACTTATTTTGAGCTTTCATAAATTGAACTGAAAAGCTTCAAAGCCTGAAGAGGCGGCAAAGAAGCTAGTAGTTTCTCTTTCTCTGACACCTCTTCAGGCCTCTTTTTCTCTCTTTCTTGTTAGTGTATAAAGCCCGCAAGCATTAGAACCGAGTCCCGAATTGATTCGAAAACGAGGTAAACCTCCTCAATCAGGGGCTCGAGTGCGGCGGTGGCGGACATGGAGGAATCGTCGAAAATCGGCTGACTCACGGGAAATCGGTGAGGGCGACGGCCACGCCGGCCGCCCGACCTCGACGACCAGGAAGACGAGGAAGGGCCGGGCGCTTGAAAATCATTCTTGATACAACGAATAAATCAGTGATCGAATTTTGGGAGGTTATCGGGTCAAATCTCTCAATTTTTTATGGGTTTCGTCAGTGTCTATCTTCATAACGGAATTTTATTGGAAGAAAAAAAAAATTGTCATTTGAATAAATCTTAAAGAACAACAGTAAGAGGAACGCAGGATATACGAATTAAGGAAGAAATTAAAGAAAGGACGTAATTAAAAATCTAAAGCGCCGTTTCGTCTTTGTGAATTGTACGGCTTTCATGGAGACTTTTGAAGATATTTCGATTTTGAAAAAATCAAAAAAAGAGCTCCTGCCGAACTTCAGCCGGGATCACATAGTGATAAAAATCCGGAAAAATATCCTTTATTCCACTTCTTTTGAAAAGCCCTAGAGAAACCCAGAAAAAGCGTGATAATTAATCGCAAAAAGTCGAAGCTTGATTAAATAACCCCTCACTTGATGGACTTCTACCAACGACAATCATATCAAAAGTGATATCGTGCAAATCAGTTTTTCTTTCTTTTTATTTTTTTTGCAATGGAAATGGAAAAGGCACCATCTCTCTCATCCTCGTCGAGTTCGAAAGAAGTCTCCTCCGTAATGACACTTTCCGTAGGAACGCCTTCAATTGTCGTTCTGAATCGCGAAGAAGCCGCCATTGATGATTTGCCAGTCTGGTCTGGAACGATTCGATAAATTTTTTTCGAAAAAAGAGGAAAGAAATAATCAATAAGACTTAGATTCATTTGTTTCAGATTGATCTCCTCTTTTTAAGAATTTCGAAGTGATTCCTCTGAGCACCAAAAATATATGGGAACAGGAGAACTTTCGCGATCGATTCTGCAGGGGATCAAAAACGAAAACGTCAAAAATTCATCAAAAAGCCAAATTTCGCTATGAAAAAGCCACTATAATTCACAGTGGCGGCCGAAATTTTGGTTCAAAGTTACCTAATTTTTAAAAAGGCCTGAAAAAAGCTAGAATTTGGCTATGTTGTGTTAAAAAAGATGGTCAAAAAAAAAAAAGAATTTTGAGGAAAAAAATATCAAAGAACGAAAAAGTTGACGAATTTTGACCGCCATATATTTTTCTAGTAGTTCTGTACGACCAAATTAATAATATATAAATCAATACAGTGGAAAAACAAGTCGTGCTTCGGGACTCGTAACAGTTTTTCTACAATTCTAGCTAGTAGCCAAAAACGGACCCAGACTTCCAGAAGAGCTCGGGTCCCTCTGTCCCAACTGAACCAAGGCAATCTGCTCGCCAGCGGTCCTCGGCTGTGTCTCGGACATGCGGAAGACGATTCCAGACGGCGAATTCTCTTCGGCGAGCCGATCCAGGACGTCTTCTTGCATGAACTCCCGTTCGTTGATCTGCTCGATGTCGAAAGAACTCCGAGAAGTCAGGGGCGGCGGGCGTCTCCGTTGCGGCGTCACACTCCCTCTTCAAAGTTCGAAATCGAAGATTCGAAAAAATAGATAGGAAAACTACGTTTTCAAAAACGCGGAGAATGATTCGAAGAAGATCTTTGGAACGGAATCTTGCCGCTTCGGCGTTCTTCCAGACATCCTGGGCTCCTGAAAAGTCATCTTTCATTCGTTACGAGTTAAAAGTCTAGCTTCTCTGCTCTCTCTCTTGTTAACATTCTCTTTTTACGCTCCTATTGTTACCTAGCCAATCAAAGAGAGAGCGCAGACACGTCAGACTGTTTAAAATCTTGACAAAAATGGTCTACACAATTAAATTATATTTCTCAGTTCCTATTGCTCCTACAAAAACCAAAAAGGTATCGATCGAGAGAGGAAATTTTTTTTCTAATGGTGCCCGATTTGATAGGAAAAGATCAGTTTCGAAAAATTTGAGAATCTTCAAAACTTTTGACCTAAAAGCGCTCATGTTTCTTGCTGTTTTGCGTCTAATTACCACTACCAAAATTATTTCCTTCATGTCGGCTACTGCTTTTTCGCTTTACCAAAACTTTTTTTATTCATTTTATTCTCAATTACCTGTTGAAAAGAGCCAAAAGTCGTGGATGACTCCGGAGCTACGCCTGGAGTGGCCGGAAACCGATGAACGTTGCCGGCGGAGGCCATGGATCGTTGCAAGGGAGTTTGAGGGACTGCGAAGCTGCCTCGCGTGCTCCGCGCATTGAAAAAACCTCGGATGGTTGGAGTCACCTTGAAAATGTGCACTTTTTTCATGGCCATTTTTTTAAGTTCGAAAATTTCTCTAAACTTAAGCCCAAAGCATCATTTGAAGTCAAATTTGACGTTGAAGCTGCTCATTGTGCAAAAAATTAGAGGTCGTGCTGATTGAGCCACCAGAATTTTAATTCAGATTACATTGAAACTTAATTCTTGAAATTTTCTTTCCTGTTCCTTTCATATCCTTCATATTTGCTACTATGAAAACCTACCCCCGATTCAACAGAATGAAACGGATCGAAAACGGCAGGCGTTCCGATAACGGACATTGGCGTTCCGGCGACAGTGGCAGAACCTCCTCGCTGATCGCCGGAATTCACTATGAAAAAAATAATTTAAATTAGCTTTTCAGGTTTTACAATTGATTTTTTTTTTCGACAAAAAGAAACCTCCAAAAACTATTTTTTTCAAACCAACTAGAGACCTCTACCTTTTTATTTTTATATATTTAAAATTCTTTATCATGACTGAAAAACTTCGAAACTTTCCCACATTGTCAATATAATTGATTTTCGTTTTGAGAGATCTACAGAGAACAAGTTTAAAGGAAGATCTTACTCAAAAATTCGAGAAGACAATAAATTTCGATAACCGTGATAAACGAGGTGCGAAACGGGGAACTTGATAAAAAAAATTGCTTCACTCACTAACTTTCCCCCGTAAAACAACTGACCAGGGGAGATAAGCAACCTAGGAAGAATAAATTTCGAAAAGATTGTTTAAAAAAACCGTCAAGGACAAGAACCGGTCAAGCCCCGGGAGGCCGACGCGAAATATTTCGAAACAACGGCTGGCACCGGCGGATCCGAGGGGCGGAGCTTCTTGTTTTTCCCATTCTTGACTGCTTTTTTGGGCATTCCTAGCATTTTTCTTTTTAAATTTCCTTCTCATTTTCTATCCAGTTCATGGGAAACTCTGCCATTTTTTTTTCCTTTTCTAGGGCTTTTTTTTGAGAAAAGTTTAAACACACCTCTACTGAACTATTACGCAATATCGAGCTCAATAGCAAATGTTTCAATAATAACTTGTACAATTTTTCGTCTAATAACGACAGAAAGAGATCCTATTTAACCAAGTTCTTTGCAGAAAATCACACTGGAAGGTTTCAAATTATTCTCTGTTGTTCTATTGCCTAAACCATTGAAAAAAGGTTTTTTTTTCTGAAAAATCGGTTTTTCTTTTTAAGGAATACGGATAGTATAACGTTTTCCGAGCTCTAGGGCTTCCGAAATTTTCGAGATTGAAAAGAGATTGAGCTTTTTCAACTTTCTTGAGTTGAAGGCTTCTTTAGGTGAGTTATGTAAAATTTCTAATATTTTTTTGAAATTCTGGAGCTCTTTTAACTTCTGCATGCGAAAAAGTCAAGCTGCTTCAAACATTTCATCCTTTTTTGCTGAATCTTCTACCTTTTTAGATCAAAACCAGAGCTCCCTCTACTGACAAGAAAGGTAATTTCACTTTGCAATTGGGACTTTCTTGAAAATTGACCAGAAAACTCCTTGAGGTACTAGGTAGAAAACCCAAAAGTCTCAACCTGCAAAACTACCTAGTTTTTAGAAAGACCATCACAAAGTCAAAGAACCCCAAGAAATCCGTTAAAATGGGCCATTTCGAGGATTTGAGCCCTTATTTCTTGAAAACTATAAAATTATGCAGGTTGAGACTTTGAGAATCTTCTTCTGGTACCTTAAAAAGTGTTCTGGCCAACTTTCAGGGAATTTCCAACCACAAAGTAAAATGACCTTCCTTGTGGGCTAGTATTATAAAGCCTCAGCTTTTCACTTCGATTTTAAGTAACTTTAAAATGCCCTCATAGTTCATTCCAAATGCCTTTCGAATTCTTTTAAGAGAGATTCACCCTTTTTTTCCCTTCATTCAGTTTTTTTTACAAAAAAAAAATCATGTTTTCTACCTTTCAAAAAATTACAGAATTTTCCCCTTCCAAGATGAAAGATATATTAAATCAACTTCTAGGCGAAACTACGAAAATCAAAAACTTCTAAAGATTACTAAATCGTCCACGTAGGAAATTGGTGAAATATAGCAGTTAAAATTCAAAAACTTACACTCTTTGGAGAGCTCGTCGAGCTTGCAGTTGTACTTGTTGGAAATGCGCCGAAGTCGTCTTTGGTTCCATTTTTGGCGTTCTTCAAACGCACTTTCGTCGTCCCCCAAGCCCGTGAAGCTGTTGAACGCCGCACGGATCCTTTAATAGTGATTTTCTCTTTGAAAATAAAAATTCAATCAGTAAAACAAAAAAATAAGAGCAGAATGAAATCTCGATCGAAAAGCAAATTTCAAAAAAATTAAATAACATTTTTTTAGACCAATTCGCACTACCAATACTGAAAACTAAGATAATACTGAAAAAAAGCCGAATTTTTATCGCTAAATTAGGTTTATGACCCCGTGAAACTATTGAATGGTGCACGAATTCTAGAATAATGATCTTTTAAAGAAAAATGTATTAAACTAAACTATAAATTCAATATTGAACGTTAATAGTATTCTTAACAAAACGAAAAATGGGCTTTTTTTAAAAAAAAGGACACTTAAGAAGAATTTTTCGCAGTGAAAAAAATTTCCATTCCATCAAATGGATGGTATCAAGTTTCTGAAAGCATTAAAAAACCTGCCCAAGCTTCAAAAACTCGAATCAAAAATTGAGAACAAAAAAAATATCATCTGCACTATTTAGAATAACTCTAGATTTTTCAGTAATTTAAATAAAAAAATATGATTTTTCTCTTCGAAAAGTTGATTTTTGAATGAAAAAAAAAGAAACGAACTGGCTGGTCTCCCGGATGAGAGGAGGATGGGAAGGACCCGTCGAACTTTGTTCTTCATGTTTCTGAAAAAGAAAAAAATCGAATATATCTTTTACAAAGAGCATGTAAACTTTCCTTTTAAGAAAAATAATAAGGAAGATCTGCGGGTACTTTTATTTCTCTCTCCAATCAGCAACAAATATACAAAAAAGGTGGATAATCGTATAAATTCGAAATAACTAACGAGGGCTGTTTTTTTTAGCGAGTGGTTGAACATTTTCTGAAACTTGAGAGAAGTTTAGAACCTCCTAACTACAGAATAAGAAGAGAGTTCTCGAAATCTGCCATTTTGGTCGTGTTTCAACGATTCGAAATTTTCAATAAACGCCCTTTTACTTGATTTTTACCGTTTGCGAGCTTTGGAGAGTCAAAATTCGACGGTGAAGCAGAAGTTTAAAAAAAAGACGTTTTGTCAAAGAATCAGAGGCTATGAGAGCTTTCACAGCGTGAATGCGATGACGTAAAGGAGTTTTCAAAAAGAAAAATTTCAATTTTTTTTTATCTATAACTTCCAGCTTGCAAAGCTTGTAAGCTTACCTGCTTTAAACTCATTTATGTTACCCTGCGTAATTTTTTCTGTCTCAGAAGGTCCTACAAACTGGCTAAAATCTACTTTAAAATCGTGGATTATTAAAAAATTTGTCGACTAAAACGCTTCAAAAGCTTAGAACAACCTGCAGAAAAATTTCGAAATCGATAATAAAAAAAGTTCTCTTATAATAATTCGAAAACTAACAGAACGTGAAGGCGTCGTGGCCGACTGGAGACGTGAGGATTCCGGCGTCGGGACCTCGACGTACGTCGCATGTGGAGGCCGCTTCGACATCGACGGCTCTCATCCAACTTCAAACATTTATTCATAATTCCTTTAATCCGAAAAGAGATCAAGGAATAATATCGGAAATGACACGAGTAACACATGTTAAAAAATAAAGAATCAAGAAAAATGTTTTACAGCTGAAATAAGCGAAAATTAGGGAAATGGGCATTTTTAAAGACAAAAATTAGGTTCTTTTTTCAGACAAATATTTACTCAAAACAACGTAAAATAAGCTTTTACTTAGTGTTCTAAATGAATAATACTTCGAAGATACGAACAAAAAAACACATTTACTTGATCTCCCTAATCTTCGCTAATCCTGAAGAAAAAATCAAGAAGGCAAATATTTTCAAGAAAAAAAAATGGGAGGATCAACGGGGTGAAATTTAGCATGACACGAGGAACTCGTTTTTTTAATCAAGACACTAAGGAAGAAAGTTTCTGAGAAAATAAAATGTTTGAACTATCGAGGAAAAAAGCAAAGCTTTCAAAAGCGACCTTCTAAGCCAAAGGGAAAATCAAAAATAATACGAAAAGAAGTGGAATCAAAGCCTCTTGGGGCGAATATTCTGAAGGCGGTAGACAATGGACGTCTTCGAGGGATCATAGGAAAAGACAGCGACGACGGCGTAAAGAGCAGAGAAGGAAAGGAGAAGGACGACGGTGGTGCAGATGACGAACATGGCCGGATAGTCAGAGGACGAGAATGTGTAGACTTGAAGACGTTGGCGGGCCTTGGAGACGTTGGGAACGGGAACCTTGGTCCTGGACATCTTCTCGATCGGCTTGGAGCAGAGGGTAATGGCCTCGACGAGGATTTCGGGGCCGAAGACGTTTTCGACGGCGGCGGTGAAGGTTTCGATGGTACTTCTGACGGTGTCTTCGTCGAGGATATCCAAGTCTCTTCCTTCTTGATTGATGTTGACGACGAAGTAGGTGAAGTTCTTCTCGACCTTCATCTTCTGACTGAACTTGTTGATTTGCTCCAATTCTTCACGAATGCCTGTCGCTCTTTTGCACGCCCTGTCCAGCTTCCCGTCGTTGGTCTCCACGGCCTTCCAGACGACGCCGCAAGGTTCCTGACCGTCGAAGATCTCGCTGACGTCGCCTTCGATGGGCGATGTCACACGGAAGTTGGCCAGAAGGGTCGGCTCGGATCCGCCGATGATGAAGAGAACAAATGCACGGGGGCGAGTGAACAGATCGCGTTGGATTTGGATGTCGCCGACCGGCCGACTGGATCTGCCGAGGATGGCGGCGTTGAGGCTGGCCAGGCTGCTGGTGTTGATCTTTGAGAACTCGGTCGGGAAGCTAACTATTTCCGAAGCCGGAACGCGAAGGAAGCTCAGCGACGCCTGACAATGACTGGAGACCAAGGCCGGCAGCAAGATCAAAACTGCGAGTGCCCGCATTTTTCGCTCAAAATAATACAATTTGAACTAAACGTGGAATACATGGAATGGTACGATAGAATCTTGACGAGAAATTTCAGAAAAATTTTTTTTTCTCTCGAAACAGTAAAGATGGTGCGAGTTGCTGTATATAAAAAAAATTAAATCAATAAAATTTTGAAAACTCAAGAGGTATAACCTGTTTGAAAGCCTTGTGGTGATGTTTAAACATCGCAGAAATCATTTTAAAAATGTCTTAAGAAAAACCTGCAAATTTCATGTAATGCAAGACATTCGCGAAAAACATCAAACATCTCAGCTAGGCTTTTTACAACAAATTATGCACAAATTTTTCCTCAATCGAAGTGGAGGCAAATATAACTTTCATGGTTCTCTTCCTCCACGCCACAGATCTGTCTGTGAGCGAAATAAACATTTCATTCAGACAAAGAAAAAAAATTTCAAAACAGAAATGAATGTAACTTCGAGACATCTTCATGGCCCTATAAATTCTATTTTTGCTCATTTCGAGACATGCTTCGTTTCTCCACCTGAACGCGCTATCAACGTACTAAAAATTGATCACGAGCCTCGGCTTGATGGCATAAAATAGCGAAGCATGTCTCGAAATACGATTTAATGATCATTGAAGTTTCAAAAAAAAATTATTCATCTTTAATGCCGTTTTTTAAACAAAAACGAATGCTTGAAAAATAATAAAAATTTGAAAAGACACAAGTTATATGATTCGCGAAAAGATTCTAAGTTGAATTATTATCTCGGAAAGAAATTACAGCACTTCTGAACATATACAAAAAAATTTATAAAACGAGTAAATAGCCGGTATAACAGAAATAATTGAAATAAAGACGAAAAAAGAGAAAATTTTTATTTCGGGCAGTTTTCTGATCATGCATTTTGTAGTGTCATCGATTGCACAGAACACGCTTTGGCTACGCGCAAACACCTGTTTTATCATTAAAACTTTTTATCGATAGTCGACTATCGACTATTCTTATAAACCAATCATACTATTATGTTCTCAATCATTAAGGCTCTCAATCGCAAAGGTCAAAATCAAGAGATAACTAATTTGTTGTGAGCTATGAGCCTCAGAAAATTCCTCAGAAAAATAAAAACGCGGAAAATAATCATAAAAATGAGAAAAAAAAAAAACTAAGTGATCAAAGGCAAAAACTGCATTTCGGAAACGCTGACTCATTCAGACAGGCGCCACCAAGCAATGTGAACCGGCCGGACATACGGGACGAGCAAACATTGCGTTTCGACAGGTTGAAATTGAAAAAAAGTGTTGTTTTCGGGTATATTCGCTCGTTCTTTTACTAAAGTTCGTATGAATCAAAAAGCGCGATTGAAGTTATTGTCGAATTTGAAGACGAAAGGGCGGTTGACGTAGAAATCGTAGTAGAAGACGAGAACGACGACGAACGCGACAGGGACGACGACGACGGCGACGCGATCGACACGGCTGATCGAGTTCTGGGCCAGGCCGAACGGGTCCGTCTTCACGTTCTGCAACAAGATCATCAAAATCATTGAATTGAAATAATTTAGAATGGTACCCTATCCAGCATCCAGTAGTACAAGCGCCAACCGACGTTCTCTTCCCGAATAGATTGAATATTCAGCTCTTCTCGTTGCTAAAAAAAAAGTTTTTAGTCGTAGATCTTGCTTTGAGAAGATAGAAAAATGATGATAATGTTCTTAACCTCCTCTTCCTCTTCAGCAATTTTCGTCATCTGCATGGAGGTCGAAGCTTTCTTGGCTGGATACCTAACTGAGGAGAACCTGATTTTTGCGTTCATTCGTCGAACTTCAGGTCGAGGTCCCTAAATTTGAATCTAAAAAAGAATTAATACCGATTCCTGGTTTAAAAATACTTTTCTATTCTTTTTTAAAACGGCTCGACGCCCTGCAGTTCAGGCTAAAGTTGAGTGTTACGTAGAAGATGCACAAGAGCTTCTGATACAAATTTCGCCGACCCTAAGATTTTTAACGCGATCGAGCGGAAGTCGTTTTATGGTCGGATGCACTGATAAGTAATTTTAAATGCGACCTACTTGTTTCAAGCCTGTTTAGAATACCAATTTTCTGTACAGCTTTAATAAAAATTATAAAATTAGAACTGAAAAAACGATTTAAAAAATCGACTACCTTGACTGGTACAGTCGGTTTTCTCATTGGTTGACTTGGACGACGTTGAAAACCCCCAGCGCGATGTCTACTGCTGAAAAAAAAAATCAAAACTAAAAAATGATCCCTTCAATTTCTAACCTCAAGACAGCATTCTTCGGAATGCTCTTCACGATTTGACGGAGTCTTTCCCTCTCGGCCTCTTGAATTTCCGGATCTCCAGTGTTATATTTGGTATAATAGTGCACAACAGTGAACTCTATCATACAGAGCAAATGGGCGAAATAACAGATCCAAATGTAGACGTCGAGTGCTGTGGCCATGTCGATCTGGAAAAGTGAGCCATTCCAAATGCGGCCTTTCGGAGCTTCTTTCTACCTTCGGGGAATCTGTCTTGCTGTCGAGGGATATCAAAACGATCGTCAAGACGTTGGTAATTCCTGTTTGAAGAAATTTTTATTCATTTTTTAAATTTTGATCAGTTTACAAAAATATCTCGTCAAGCTTTGAAAACTCCCTCTAACCAGTCTGGTAAGTGTTCGACTTTTTTTTTCACATTTAAGAAGTGCCAGCCAATCAGAGCCCCAGTTCTCTAGGGGACTATAAAGCTTTTATGAAAGAACTATGATGTTTTCAAACTCAGCTGAGAACCTCTAAGAATCCAATATAACGAAAAAAGTTCAACATTTTTTTTCAGTTTTGATTCATTGAAACACAATCAGAACAATATTTGGTGGAGCAAACTTTTGAAGCTTCAAAAGTTGTTATGGACTTACTAGAGAGCTTCCATAACACTTTAACAAAGCTTTCACTTTTCCTTTTCAAGGCCTTCAGAAGTTCAAGCTTGAAAAGCTACTAAAGGCTGCACTTCAATAGCGAAAACTTTCAAAAATTGGACTAAATTTTCTTCAAATTTAGATTTTTAGGTTAAAAATTTATATTGACTCGAAACTTTTCGTGCCAATTTCAAGGCTTCATTATTGATACTAAGCTCTAGAACTTGTCAGGCTCTTTGTGAAGTCATGAATGGACTCAAAAAATAAAACCGATTCCAATTCTTTCTCCAGTCGCCTCTCTCTTCGTGAAGAACGCCACCCAACAAAGAAGCATCACCAGAGCGCAAGGAACGTAGAAATTCATCAGGAAATAGCCAAAATGCCTCTCGAAGAAGAACCTCACTTCGAGGGCCGAATATTGAGCTGAACAAAAATTTCCATTTCCAGTACGAAATCTAAAAAATAACTGTCTCTGGTCAGGTTGACAGCATCAAAGACTTTGAACCCAGTCAGAGAATATTGTGGTAGATCGGCGATGCTTTCATAGTCGATCTAAATAATATTTCCGAGAAGGAATACGCTTCTGGAAGCTTTGAAAAGGGTTTCACACACGCTCACGAAGATAAAGGCTTAGTACAAACTTTTCATCATTGTTCCTGAGAGCTCTCCTTACTTTCACAGACACTATATATATTCTGAACAGTTTGCACAAGGCTTTGATAAGCTCCGCCTTTTTTCAGGCTTACTATGGAAAAAACTTTAAAAAGCTAACATTTTCCTAGTGGAGCAAATCGTTTCGAACAAGTTTGAATTCAGAGCAAATATCGATTTCAGTATGTTGTGTGTTCAAAGTTACGCTGAAGAAAATTTTTTCATGTAGAAAAATCGAAGAAAGTTGAAAAATGACGATTTTTCGAAATTTTCGAGTGTTGAATTCTCTGTGTCTAATATTTGTGCTCTACTCTCTTGTTTCGTTACTTTTGAGGGAACTCGGTGGAAAGACCCAACCTTGACGCCTCTGTCAGGCTCCAAAACGTTCCATTGGTATTGAATTTCATCGGAACTATAAGCATAACTTCCAAGAACAAGCCGACAAGCCTGCTTATCCAATGGATATCTCCTCATGTCCATTTCGCATCTGGCTATAACAGTTCATTATTTTTCAAGTTATTTTTTTCTTTTGAAGAAAGTGTTCTCGAGCTCTTATTCGCATTAAATTTTGATTGATGAAAATTCAAAAAAATTTCCTTTCTCATGAAAAAGTACCGACGTGTTGGCCTTTAGGAAAACTCAAAGGCCCTGAAAAATACTTTTTCATTAAAAAAATTTCAACTTTTTCATTAAAAAAATTTCAAAGGCAATTTCCAAACACGAAAAGCAAAATCGGCGTGAAAAAAACATTTGTCAAGGTATTTGAATAACTGTATATTATGAATAAAAAAATCATTTCAACCCAGTACGCTAACTTTTTCCAATGTAAAGATATTTTTCCAAAATATTTCACTAAATGGTGGGCAGTTGGTATGGTAGTGGTAGATGGTAGAATTTTTCAACCTCATGGCTTAAGCTGGACTATTATTATCATCTTCTTATTTCTTTCCCCTTCTTCTCCATTTTCTTCATTTCCTCATAAACTTTCCATAAACCTCTGATAGTGATTCGACTCGAAAAGAGGACAGTTCCATCGGGTTTCAGCCGAACCAATCTATTACTACTGGTAATCGAGTGAATGTAAGAGCCAGCTCCGTTCCAAAAGTACTGCAAATTTCATTTTATTCTCTCCTAAAATCCTTTTTTTTTCACCGTATCAGGCTTCCAAATCTTGTCCAACATGGCCATACTCAGGGAGAGTTGTCTGAAACCAATCCCGCTGTTATTGAATTGGAGCCGATCATCCGTCCAAGTTTGGCGGAAATAGCAGTTGAATGAGTACGTCTAGAATCTTTCTCTCACATAATTTTTCCAGAAGGAAGTCTTACATAAGACAAATCAGCAACAGGACCCATCGTGCGGACAAATAAATCTATGAAAACCTTGGTCGCTTTTTTGCCTAAGTTTTTTTCTTTTATCCTAGTTATCTTTTGAATTTTCTCCTTACTGTTAAATCCAGGCCGGAAATGCTTTCCATAATCGAGTAAAAGTGCATTCAGGAGGTTGGTAACATTTGCAGCGATGGTGGGGAATCTGAATGAAATTGGGAAAAAGGGAATAAAAATAGATTGAATTAAGGATTGAGTTACATTTTTTCCTTCTTCGTTAAAAAAAATTTGAGCAAGCCTTAACAAAAATCAAAAATAATCATGCTTACAAAGATTTAAAACCGAAAAACTGACCCTGCCACTTCTTTTTAGTTCTCTACTTTATGAACTCCTATTCGAACGAAAATTTTTTTAGGCTTCAATTTCAAAAAGGAATAAAATATAGGCTGCCAGAAAAATGGCAAAAAAGGCATTCCGTCGAGCCGGATTCGAACCAGCGACCTAAGGATACCCACTGCTCTACAGTCCTCCGCTCTACCAACTGAGCTATCGACGGCCTGGAGGATTTTCGCGGCGAGGGACACCAATTCACGCGGGTGATGATAACAAGAAATGTGTAATTATTTCTGTGGGAGTGTGGGAACTAAAATATTCTTCTGGTTTATTGTCCTTAGTCATGATTTTCAATGATAAAAAGGAAATTCAAAGAAATAATTGCATTTTTGTCATTGGAGCTTAAGTGTAAGGACAAAAATGGCTCTAAAAATCCCACCTTTTAACGCCTCGACGCGGCCGCATCCTTGTATCATTCGGCTGTCGATATTTGACATTTTCAATGCGAATTTTATCGAAAATCTTGTCACTGACGTCGTTTTTAATTTTAATATTGAAAGAGTCAAGCTGGAAGGAGTGAAGGAGGGCTAGGAATATCGAAATTTTCATTTTTTGACGAGAGATGGAGGGAAAATAAGAGCGAATCTCAAAATCTTGAGATTTTTGAAAGGCGTTGAAAGGCTTCTCAACGCGGTCATGACCTACGGCTCCCTTGGGAGGGAAATTTCTCGCCGGCGTTTTATTTTTTTTGTTGAAAATGAAGGGAATAGTGACTTTATTTGTTGGGTGTGAGACAAAATCCACAAGTTAACGGACAGTTGAATTCTGCGACCAGGGATAGGTCGGACGAGCATCGACCTTTCAGCATGTACTGGAAACAGCTGAAAAAATGGTTTTATGGCGTCATTAGATGACTTTTCGGGCTTTTTTTTCCACGAAAACCTTGAATAATAGTCCGTGCAGGGCTGGCGGACCAAATTCTTGTTGCAAAGATTGAAAGTTGTCGGACACTGGAGTTTCAAAGCATCAGTGATTTGCCCGGTGAAACAGGAAGACGCTTTGTAGGACTCACAGGTGAAACTAGAGTAATATTTCTCATTAGAAAATAAGTAAACTTCAAACTCACCTCCCAAGGATATCGAAGCATTTGGGTACAGTGATGCCGGTGGCAGAAGGAGGCGTCGTTGGCGGGTTGGCCGCGTCAACTAAGCTCATCATATTTGCAAAAATGGTCGTTTTTTTTTCAGAGTAGATTCTTGCAGTTCCTCAGAAAAGATATGAAAAACGCTTTTGGTTAAAACTTTCTTGTATGGATTTTAATTTTATGAAATCTTCGGGAGTTGTGATCATAGTTATTTGTTTCTCTGGTGATCAAATTCTCCGAGAAACTTTTCTGAAATTTCTATGGGTGTCAATTTAATTCAAGGGGTCGAAAATCACTCGGGAAACTGCTCCACAACGGTTGCCAATACTAGCACAAAAGTAGAAAAACTTTAGCTGAATAAAAAATTGATCAATCAGCTCATTAAAATTTTCCTTTATAAGAAAAATCTTTCTTAATTAAACTTTAAAAGGTTCTAATCTTTTTTGAGATTCAAGAGTGAGCTTGAACCTTACTGAAATGTTTTCATATCCATAAAAAAAATGATAGCTCGGTCTACTCAATGTTTTTTCTTTTTTCAAAGTAATCAGAACCCACCATATCTGTACTGCCAAGTGTAGGTGGTGTAATAGTATCGATTATAGGCAACTACGGGCATCGGATTCACTTCAGAGGTCAAGATTTTGTTGTTGAACTCGTCACAGCAGTACCTTTAACTTTTTTCAAATTTCAGATGGTAAGAAAATAAATACTTTCTATTGGTCATTTTCTGGTCGGCGTTGATCTTGGGCTCAATTCCATTCAATTTGCAACCGTAGCTGCACTGAGGATTAAAACTAGAGATGATTTGGAACTGAATTTGCTTTCCAAATGGTGCCTGGAAAGCGAAAATTATTAGAATATACCTCAGAAGGTCACATAGGTTTTCAAACGCTACAATCTGAGTCATTCTAAATTTCTTTTTCGCCTTTTTTCCTTCGACTTTGGGCTCCCGCGGACACAACATAAATTACTTCGATAAATCGAGATTTTTTTCAAATATCCTAAACTTTTTCTTTAGAACCTACTCACATTATAAAAACTTTCAATTTTCGAGAAAAAAATGCGCTCTAGAAGCTTCTCAGCTGTAAGCTTTGGTCACGCATCCTATTAATTTTTTTCGGAAACTGAAAAAGATTGGATACCTGAACCCAGTGAATACAGAAATCGAAATCATCCCTCGCAGATGCCAAGAAAGTATTATTCCCGAGACTGTAGGATACTTCCTGCCAATTTGCGGTCGCCATTAATGTGGCTCCACAAGTTCCAGCCTTGGGCTGGAAAAAAAAGTCGTGTATAATTGAAAGGACCGGTGAGATGTGCTCCAAAACTAATTTTGATATGTTTAGCCATAGGGCACATTTCCCCAAAATTCAAAGCCATTTACCCTTTCATTGCACAGATCTCCACCGTAGCCGATCGGACAATTGCATTTTGAGCAATCATTTGGATTCGGATAGCTGCCATTTGCACAGATTAGACCATTTTCGGGGCCTTGAAATGTCGCGAAATCTTCAGAATCAATAGAAAGTTACATTTGCACGAGAGGTGAATATTGATCATTTGAATATCGTAAAAAGTGATTGCCCGATTTCCCATCGTGTAGATCATCGATCCGTCAAGAGGGACTATTGAAGGCTTTCCTCCGGATTTGACGAATCTTAGGAGAATGAGGATTTAAAAAATTAATCAAGGGGTCTTTTTAATTTTTAATAGCTTCAAAAACTTCAGAAAACCTGTACAAGAGCACGGAAATATCCAATTGAGCTGTAAAAGGCTTGAAAAAAATCCGAGAACTCTCAGAAAGGCTAGAGGCGTTTCGAAAATCCGAAGAACTCAAGTAATTTTAACAGCTTCGAAATTTCCGGTAAGCTTTTTCTAGAAGGGTTGGAAAACTTTTGGAACCTTCAAAAATCGATCAAAATGCAATCTTTCTTTTTTTTTGAATTTTTAATGTCAACCTAGAAATATTCCAAACATTCAACTCACGTCGTCGCTCCGTAATGCATAATACTAGCCAGGTCATAAGGTACAATATTTGTCGTACTTGCCGCGTCATACTTGACAAAGTCCACCTGTGAACCTTCCTTAAAAATTGTTTCCCCAAATTTTTGAACCTCAGCCCCAGCTTCAACATCAGTCAGGTCAATAATAATGTAGGAATCTCGGTCATATCTCATTTGAGCGTGAAAGAAGCCCAGAACATGGGTGAACTCGTGGGCTGCGAATCCCACCTGGAAACATCTGGAGTTCCCTTCATATAGGTAGCTTTTACTTGTTCACAACCCGAGCCAAGAGACAAAGTCTGTTCGCCCCCGACCATACCGACACTGGAGGTACATCCTGCCGTGTCGATTACCTGAAACACGAAATTCCTGAGAAGCTAATGATGAAAAAGCCTTGGGTCAATTCAGTCAAACACAGGGAGAGTGAAGAAAGAAAAATTGATAGAGAAAATAGTTTTTTACATAATAAACTTGAGCACAGCTTTTTCAAGTACTTTTTATTTCAATAAAATAATAAGGACTGACCCTTTTTTGTAAAAAGCAATCATTTATTTCACCTTGACCCGATTTTCCTTTGTTGCATCTTCAACAAATTTCACACAGGTCCTGTCCGATATGTACTTGTGGGCAGCAGCCACCGATGCTCGAATCCGCGAGCCTCAAATTCTCTATTTTCAAGCCTAAACACAAAACGACCTACTAATGCTAGAATCAAAGTAAAAATACACGGTATTGTCAGGCCAAAACGTCGCGTTATTCAAAACCTGACGCTTTTTTCTACCCGATGAGTCTTTTCCGAGTGATTTTTCAAAACTGTCAAGTTGAGATCTGAAAACCAACAATATCTGATAAATCCAACTAAACTTACTCTTCAAGGTTCATATCGCCTTGGAAAAGGTAATCATTGAGGCCAGCTCGTTTATTCACTTCGAAAAGATCTGGTTCCACTTTAGGAGTCAGGTTCACTTTGGGGATTGTCTGCAAAACAAGCCATTGCAAGTGAGACCACGGCATTTCGAGTGACAATAGATTTAAAGAGCCCATAAAATCAATTTTTCAGTTTTGAGTCGAAAAACATTTCTCTGAATGACCTAGGCTTACACGGGAAGTGCGAAAGGTCAGGTATTGGAATTTAATGAAACTTGATATATAGGTACTACCGAACACCCTGAATCCAAAAAAGCTGAAAAAAGTGCGCCTTTTTGGTTTTAGTCGAGTTAGGGCGCCTCAAAGTTTGCACGCAAAAATTGCATTGGAAGGGAGGAGGGAATGTGTTGCGGCGGCTAACTCTAGCTGCCAGCAGGCGGCGTGGTGTAGTGGCTAGCGGCCTTGCGCTGTGAAACCTATGATGCAGGTTCGGACCCTTTTTGGTGAAATTTTATTTTTGCCAATTTTTTTATTTGAAAAATGAGGTTTTGATGATGGAGTGAAAGAACAGCACAAAATTTTGAAATTCACCATTATACGCCCATCTGAGAAAGAATTTCGACAAAAAATTTTTTTTCTCCATTTTCCCTTGCCTAACCATAAGGCTTATGGTCGACCCATTCCTTCAAAAAAATTTCTGATGAACCAATAAAATCAAAAGTTTTATGAGATTTATTCTTCTTTCCCTCCTTTACGACGTTATGTGTGTAAAAAAATGTGTGTCAAAGTCCAGCTTCACTTTATTTTTCACAATCGAGATGATATGGCGATGCTGGGAATGAAAAAAAGACAAGGAAAAAGGGTTAACTAACCGCCATCTTTGAAGAAAAATCGTTTGATGAATAAGAATAGAAGAATAGAACTACAATAAGTTGTTATTTCTATCACAAACCTATGAACTCTCGCAAGATTAATCTCGACGCCCAAATTTCCTGCACAGAGCAGGACAAAAAAAGACTAAAAAAATTTTTTTGTTGAAAGTCTTTCTCAAAACGAAATAAAATAGTGAATTTTAACACTTTGAACAGTATTTTTCGTTCCATCTTCAAAAATTCATCAATTTTTTCAAAAAACTTCATGGCAAAAATAAACTTCCCAAAAAGGGACCGAACCTGCATCATAGGTTTCACAGCGCAAGGCCTCTAGCCACTACACCACGCCGCCTGCTGGCAGCTAGAGTTAGCCGCCGCAACACATTCCCTCCTCCCTTCCAATGCATTTTTTGCGTGCAAACTTTGAGGCGCCCTAACTCGACTAAAACCAAAAAGGCGCACTTTTCTTCAACTGCTTTGGATTCAGGGTGTTCGGAAGTACCTATATACCAAGTCTCATTAAATTCCAATACCTCGACCTTTCGCACTTCCCGTGTTAGTTTAAAATTATAGTGAATTTTTCTATCGTTCCAGATTTCGCTGTTCCAAGGCATTCGTACAAAAAAGCGCTGAATGAACTGGAAATAGCAAGAACTCAGCCGTTGTTTACGATTTCAATGAAAGGAGATCCTTAAACAAAAATCGATAAAAAAGCAACCTTTTGAACTTCCTGCGATCTCTTCTTGTCGATCCTTTTGATTTTTACTTTTTTACCCAATAAATAGAGCCGCTTTTTGCGTTGCTCTGGCGTGACGCCACGCACGGCCTAAATGAAAAATAATAATATTCTTCGACAGTTTTTGAAATTTCGAAGCATTACTTTTAACTCGAACCTGTCTCAAGTTGACCTTCGGTATTTGGGAAGTCGAATATTTAAAATCAAGTGGCGGCAGAGCTTTAATTGAAGTTGTTGTCCTTACATTTGCAGCGGTAGTAGTTCTAATAGGTGGTCTACTCGTTGTGGTTTCTTCGCCCCGATTCCACCACTCGTGTATTGTCTCAATTGAAATTCACAATTTTAATTTACGAAGCTGATAAGAGCTTCATATACATCCCAAGTGGCCAGAGAAGCTTATGATCGCTTAAGAGTAAGCAGTAAGCTTCAAACCGCGTCCGACTCAAAGCGACTTGCGGACGGAGACATCAGAAACTATCCCAGCTGTTCTTTATAAGTAAACACAAATTAAATTTGCTTTAATGACGTGAAAAATTGAGATTAAAACATGAGAAAATAAACAAGACCCTTTTTTCTGCATTTTGGGACACTTTTTGGGTGATTGGTCCGAAATTGGTGAAAATTTTTACATCCTATTTGGAAAATTTCATGCGTCCGAATTTTTCTTAATTTTTTTTCTTGAAATAGAAAAATTGCAAACCTCTCCCAAGTTCGCTCCAAAGGATGGCGAAAAGAGAACCCCAGCGAGAAGTAACCATTTTAAGATCATCTTCTTTTACTTCACTTCAACGCCATGAAGGTTCCAAAAATAAAAAGATTTCGTAAACAAAAAATCGAAAAAACGGAAGAATAGCAACGAAAGTGTCGAGTTTGATTGGCCAGAGGGGTGCGAAGTGGGCGGATTAATAACTTTCTGTATGAAAAAATAGGTATTTTATAGATTAGCGGTCTAACACGGGAAGTGCAAAAGGTCGAGGTATTGGAATTTGATGAGACTTGGTATATAGGTACTTTCGGACATCCTGAATCCAAAGAAGTTGAAAAAAAGTGCGCCTTTTTGGTTCTGGTCGAGTTATGGCGCCTCAAAGTTTGCACGCGAAAAATGCATGGGAAGGGAGGAGGGAATGTGTTGCGGCGACAAACTCTAGCTGCCAGTAGGCAGCGTGGTGTAGTGGCTAGCGGCCTAGCGCTATCGAACCTATGATGCAGGTTCGAATCCTTTTTGGTGCAATTTATTTTTTTGCCATTTTTTTGAAAAAAATGAGGAATTTTTTTGAAAATGGAATAAAAAAATAAGCGCTCAAAACTTTAAAATTCACTAATTTACTTCGTTTTGAGAAAAAAATTCTAGACAAAGTTTTTTTCGTCTTTCTCGTTCAAGCTCAATGGGCTTCAATAGATAGTAAAAATTTATTCTCAAAAAGTTCATCGGAGATAAGGGAAGAAAAAAATTGAATCTAATTTTTTTAACTTTTTTTATTTATTTGAGTTTTTTTCAAGGAAGGGGTCCCCTGACTATAGTCGTCTATTTGAACCGTTTAATTGAACGTCCATACAATCTTTTTTCTACAGGTGACCTGGTTTCAAACATGCTCAACAGTCGACCGTTTAACTACTTCTTCTTTGGATGAACTTCAAAATTTTAGAAATTCATTTTTCAAAATCAACGTTCGATACAAAAAAATTCCAAACGGCTCGCAGTTTAATTATTACGACTATACTGACCATATAAAAAAATGTGAAACAAAAAAATTTTTGTCGAAAGTTTTTGTTCAAAAATAGTGAATTTTAAAGTTTTTGAGCGCTTATTTTTTTATTCCATTTTTCAAAAAAATTCCTCATTTTTTTCATGGCAAAAAAATAAATTGCAGAACCAAAAAGGCGCACTTTTTTTCAACTTCTTTGGATTCAGGATGTCCGAAAGTACCTATATACCAAGTCTCATCAAATTCCAATACCTCGACCTTTTGCACTTCCCGTGTAAGTATGGTTATTCAGAAAAAAAAATACCAAAAAAAATTTGGTTCAGTTCCGGGCGAGAAAACTTCCGCCTTTTTTTGGACCTGAAAGTTTGTTTTCGGCCAACTTTTGACTAGAAATTCGTGCAATTTTTCCAAAGAAAAAAATTCTGAAAACTAATATGTGTGTTGAGTTATGAAATCAGGTAGAGAAACTGCATTTTTACCCATGAAAAAAACCTGCATAACTACACTTTTTCTTGTTATCACTAGCAGCGTCACTTGGCGTCCCTCGCCGCAGGAAATCTCCAGGCCGTCGATAGCTCAGTTGGTAGAGCGGAGGACTGTAGAGCAGTGGGTATCCTTAGGTCGCTGGTTCGAATCCGGCTCGACGGAGTTCCTTTTTTGCCACTTTTCTAGAAACTTTTTTCAAGATTACTGTGACTGAAATACATTTTCTGTTCAAAAATAAAGTTGTGTCTTTATAAAATGTAAAAAAAAATGTCTTTATTTGTTGGGCTTAGTACAATAACCACAAGTGACTGGACAGTTGTATTCTGAGACCAGTGGAAGGTCCGATTTGCAACGTCCTTGTATCGAATATTGTAAACAGCTGAAAAAAAAAAACCTATTTGACGGATTGAAACAGTCTGATTTCTCTGCGTCTCCGTTTTTGAAACAAACATTTTCTCTATTTTAATGAAAAAGCCGGTGAGGGAAAAGAGAGCGCGAAAAAGTAAGACTGTTCCAAGTCGCGGTCGCACGTAGAATGGCTCAAAGCGTCGCGGCAGCGCTGCGTTTTGAAGGGTTATATGAAGTTTTCATTATAGTACTCTTTTTCTATTTGCGCCCGACCTTGAGCGATTTTCATAAAAAACTAAAAGACGCCACAGTTTAAGCAAACCGCTCTACGACCGCGAAGCTCCGAGACATCCTTTGCAGCCTAAGGAATCTCAAACTCACCTGGAATAATAATCAAAGCAAGGCTTTCGGACCATCCAATTCTTGTCACAAATGTCGAAAGTCGTTGCGCATTGGACTTTGTTGGCGTCGGTGACCCTACCGTCGTAACAGGCAGATCCTTTGTAAGAATCACAGGTGAAACTGGAGTAATTTCATATATTGTGTGTGAAATAAATCTCTTTTTTACATACTCAGACACTAAATTGAAGCATTTTGGGACAGTGTCGCCGATGGCTGAAGGAGGCATCGTCGGTGGGTTAGCGGCGTCAACTAGAAAAGTCACGATTTTTTTCTTACTCAAGAAAAATAGCGACAAAAATCAACGTATTGAACTTTTGAATTATTAAATAATCTCCTGAAAAGTATAAGATTTCAGAACGTTTTTTTAAAATAAAGCCTTCAATCTACTTATTCGACTTTTTAACCAACCATATCTGTACTGCCAAGTGTAAGTGGTGTAATAGTATCGATTATAGGCAACTACGGGCATCGGATTCACTTCAGAGGACAGAACTTTGTTGTTGAACTCGTCGCAGCAGTACCTTTAACATCTCCGATTTTTGATTTGGAAAAAAAGGACCGAAAAAGCTGAAAAAGACTAAATAAAACTCAAAATCGTCATTTTAATAGTGGAGGCAGCCGAACAGAATGGTTGAAAAAGTAAGTCTGGGCGGTTAAAAAAACTCTGATTTTTTAAAATTTATAGTTGTACCCGATCATGAGCTTATTTATTTGCTGAATAAAACATTCTGAAGAGCGCAAGTAGTTTGCTGTCGGGCGCGCTTCGAGAGTAATTGCCCTGAAGAATCGCTTCGCGCCATCGCATTTAGCAATTTTCGAATTTGTCGAAAAAAAAGGCTAAGAATACTTCGTATTGGTCATCTTCTGATCCGCATTGATTTTCGGCTCGATTCCATTGAACAAGCAGCCGTAGGTGCACTGAGGATTATAACTGGACATGATTTGGAACTGAATTTGCTTTCCGAAAGGAGCCTACAATGGAGAAGTTATTGGAAGAGATCCCTGAAAAGCACCTGAATCCAATGAATACAAAGGTCGAAATCGTCTCTGGCAGCACCAGAATTCGAATCATCCCCGTATTTGTAGGAAACTTCCTGCCAATTGGCAGTCGCCATTAATGTGGCTCCACAAGTTCCAGTCTTGGGCTGGAGAAAAAAAATCGTGTTTAATTGGAAGGACCGGTGAGATGTGCTCCAAAACTAATTTTGATATTTTAAGCCATAGGGCGCATTTCCCCCAAACTCAAAGCCATTTACCCTTTCATTGCACAGATCTCCACCGTAGCCGATCGGACAATTGCATTTTGAGCAATCATTTGGATTCGGATAGCCGCCATTTGCACAGATTAGACCATTTTCCGGACCTTGAAATTGTCGCAAAAAATTAGAAAACTTCGAATGAAAATAACATTTGCAAGAGTAATGGGTGTTGACCATTTGCATGTCGTAGAAAGTGATTGCCCGATTTCCCATCGTGTAGATCATCGATCCGTCAAGAGGGACTATTGAGGGCTTTCCACCGGATGAGACAAACCTAGAATGGTCCAAAAAAATTGAAATTATCTCTAAATTAATAGTACTATTCACTTTCATCTAGTTCTGGTTGAGAATTTATATAAAATTACAGCTTGACGCTTCAAAAATCAGACACGAGATCGTTTATTGAAAAATAAGTTGATGAACTCCGTTTGACCCAGTTTATAATGCTACCGTCAATTTTAAAATGAATGAAATCCCCTGAAACTCTCTAGAATTTTTAGAAATGGAGAAAATATTTAAAATCTCTTTCCAGCTCATAAAAGCCTGTCAAAAAGCCTCAGAAAAGACTGTGAAATTCTCACGATCCTAGAGTATATGTCAAAAAGTTCCAAAGAGCCTGAAGAACACGGGAAAAAAAAATTAAATGGCCAAGAAATTGTATAAAAAAACCCCTCATGAAATTTCTAAACTTTTGAAACTTCAAGGAAAAGAAAGTTAGCCTAAAGGAGCTTATTATTTCAAAAAAAAACTCTAGAAGCTTGAAAAAGGCCTGACAAAAAAGCTGTCAGGATACTCAGTTCAAAAATAATTTTCTCTGTTACACGTGCAATTTCGAAAAAAGAGAAATTTAGTGGTTTTCAATACAAAAAATAAATTTCAACTATAGTTAACAATATACGAAATTTTCTCTAGGAGTTTAGCAAAGAAGCCAGTTTTGAAAAATAATGAACTTTCAGCTTAAACTCACGACATTGCCGGATAATGCATGAAGCTGGCTAGTTCATAGGGAACAACGTTTGTCGAGGTTGACGAATCGTATTTGACAAAGTTAGACTTCAAAGTTGAGTATCAAAGTCTTTATTTCGAAATTTCTGAACCTCAGTTCCAGGTTGGACGTCAGTCAGGTCAACAGTAACGTAGGAATCGCGATCGTATCGCATTTGGGCGTGGAAAGCGCCCAGAGTATGAGAAAATTCGTGGGCTGCGATTCCTACCTGGAATTCGTGAGCTAATCGTAGTTTGAGGTAAGATAAAAGCCATCAAAGAACGTTTAAAGAAAATCGGTCCTTTTCAGTCAGAAGAGAGACTTGGATTAAAAAAATCATTTTTACAGCTCTAGACCTAAGATTGAGATCAATCCGGATAAATATGCAAGATCAAAACAAAAAAAAAACTCAGAACCAGTTTCTAATGTATTTATCGATTTCCATGTGACTCTTACCTGTTCACAGCCTGCCCCGAGAGACAAAGTTTGCTCGCCGCCGACCATTCCAACACTGGATAAGCACCCAGCGCCGTTTATTACCTTAATATTTCTGAAATTAGTTTTGCTTTTCAGAAAAGTTTTTTTTTTTGACAACAAAGGAAATTTTTACACACTTCCATCTCTCGGAATTCCAGAGAAAGTGTTCCAAAAAATTCAAGAGGCTGTCAGCTTTTGAATAATTTTCCTTCACCTTGACCCGGTTGGCCTGAGTCGCGTCCTGAACGAACTTGACACAGGTCCTGTCAGAGATGTACTTGTGGGCCGCAGCCACCGACGTTTGGACTCGCGAACCTCAACTTTTTGAACTTACAACCTGAAAATTCCTTTCAAAGACGTACTGACGTCCGTGTCAAAATAAAAGTAGACAGTATTATCCGTCCAAAGGTTCGCCTCGTTTAAAATCTGACGTTTCTTTCTTCCCGACGGATCATTCCCAAGTGATTCTTCAAAACTGTCGAGTTGAGATCTGGAAATCAACTTGATGTCTCATATCTTCAAAAAAAACCTACTCTTCAAGGTTCATATCGCCTTGGAAAAGGTATTCATGAAGGCCAGCCCGTCTGTTCACTTCGAAAAGGTCTGGTTCGATCACCGGTGTCAGATTGACTTTTGGAATAGTCTGAAGGAATTTTTTGTCGAGGCTAATGTTTTTGAATATTTTTTTACTGCTTTTTCACTCTTCAAAAAAACTCTTTTTCTAGCCGGATTTAATATTAATTATCCCAAAAATCAAAAAAAGAAAAAAATATTTTTTTATCTCTACGATCGAGAAAAAGAGTAGGTAGACCAGAACTTTGGAAAAAGTCAATAAAACCAACACTTTGAACGGCCTGCGATCTCGTTTTGTTAAGTCTTGGGATTTTCACTTTTTTACCGAGAGAACTGAGCCGTTTTTTGCGCTGTTCCGGCGTGACGCCACGCATCGCCTAAACAAGTGTCATTAAATTTGAAAATGGATAATAAACGGAGTTGTTCTTGGAAATTTTTCAACAGAGTCCAAATGGCTCTGGAATATGAAAAAGGAAACTAAACTATACCTGGAAGTCTTACTGTTAAAAGTTCAAAAAAGCCAATAAAAACGTAAAACCCCTAAATGATAAATGAACTCTAACCTGTCTCAATTTCACCCTCGTCTCTTGTGAAATCGGATATTTAATATCGACTGGCGCTAGAGTTTCTGTTATCGATGCAGTTGTAGTTGCCGTGGTAGTCGTGGCTACAGGAGGTCGATTTGTCGTGGTTTTGCTGCCCCCATGCCACCACTCGTGTATTGTCTTGAATATATTCGAGCATTTTATTTCAATATAAGCTAAGTTTGATAGAAACTTGAATTCATTTTTTTAAAAGCTTAGCCAGACCTTACTCCCTCGATTCCTCATTAATTTTGCAAAGATCAATCCATCCCCCTACTTGTAAGAAGTGTTGAAGGTATTGATTGACCTCTCTAACTCTTTATGAGCAAAATAACATTTCCGATTGATTGAAGTTTCCCACAAAAAAATAAGCCAAACCTCTCCCAAATTGCCTCCAAAACATGGCGAAATGAGAACCCCAGTGAGAAGTAACCATTTCAAAAACATCTTCCTTTATATCACTCTGACGTCATGAAGGTTCGAAAAAGTGAGAAATTATAAAAAAAACTTCACATATAACAAAGAACGAGAAAAAGATAAAACGCAAAGGCTGAAGTGTCGATTTTGATTGGTTTGAGGGGAGCGCAACAGTCGGATTATTAACCCAATCGCTTTGTTTTTTTTTTCGAAAAAAGGAAATTCATCTTCTTAAGCTAGTGACCAAAGTTCAAAGCTTGGCCCTTGAAGTAAAAAAATTTTTTCAGTTTTGAAAAAAGCAGAAAACTTTAGGGTTTCTACAGAAATTCTAAAAAACTTTAATCGAAAGAAACTCCAAATCCAAAATTCAGTTTTTTTTTAACATGAAATATCTGCATAAAACCACATCTATTCGCCAATTTTGAACTATTGTGGAAAAACTCGAATGATTCCACTGGTCTCGTTATCACTACCCTCATGACTTGGAGTCCCTCGCAGCTGCGTGCCTCCAGGCCGTCGATAGCTCAGTTGGTAGAGCGGAGGACTGTAGAGCAGTGGGTATCCTTAGGTCGCTGGTTCGAATCCGGCTCGACGGAATGTCTTTTTGCTTTTTCTTGAAGGCTTATTTTTAATTTTCCTCTTTTTCAAATAATGATCAGAGATTTTAGATTTTTTTTTTCTTTTAATAATTTATTTACCGGTGCTTATTACAAGATCTCACCAAGCAAAATTATATTTTTAACTGATGTCAGCTATAAGTCAGCGATAGCATTCTCTTTCCCCTCTTATAACACATTCTTAGGTGTTCGAAACAGCATCATACCTTATAACTATCTCGAAAATTCTTGAAAGTGCTCGAAAACGTTGAAAACTTTAGTTAACTCTAAAGAATTAAATAAAAGTAACCTCCAAAACCTTTAGAATTACCATCCGACTATTATGAATCAACTATCAGTGCAAAGAGCGCCAATAAACATAAAAAAAACTCGTTTCGAGGACAAAATAACTGCCTGATTATACCCAAGAAGTGGAGATAGCTCCGAAACCCTCACAGCTCCTATCATAACATTGCGAACCAACTATTAGTGATAACATGACTAACCCTTAAAACAAATTTCCTTTCAATACCTCAATATCTGCAGTACCACCGAAAAAAAAATCAGTTTGAATCAAAAAGGTTCTCGTCGGTTCAACGAAACCTGTATCTTTGCTGGCGTCCGATTTGGTTTTGATTGGGAGGCGACAATTTCAAGATAAAGATGACTTCCGCAGGCACTTCATCAAATCTGGCACGTCACTGGTCACTTTGTAGATGGAGAAGAAGGTGGGGGAAAAAGAAAAAAGAAGACGAGAAAACCGAAGGACGCAAACCAACCAACTTGCCCCATATCCCGCAATGTTCTTTTTTCCTTTCTTTGTTCGTTCTTTAAAGAGAAGTCTAACGTTATATAGTCAATGTTTCCCGACTTGAAAGGTGATATGGGCTGGTTGGCAAGGGCGAGGTGTTGCGTGTGCGACGCGGCTTGTTGGCGGCGAGCCAAAATTCAAATGTGGGAGACAATTTGGAGAGTTCGGCCACCGCTTTTTTATTTCCTTTTTTCTTTTTCTTATTATGTTTTTTTATAATGTTTTCGATATTTCCTCAATGTAATATTGTAAGCGAACACCTTTTCAGTCTGTTTTGCATAGAATATTTCTCAAACGTGCTGCGAACCGTGAATCATTTTCGGAAAACTTATCGCTGGTTTTTGTTTCTTTCGTATTTGCTGAACTTCTCAATTTCAAACCTCTAACATTTTTATAATTTCTCCATTATGTTTGATTGCAGGTCGTGAGAAAAGAAAGAATGAGTGAGAAGCTATGTGTTTGAAAGAAAACACTTCGTTGATGGCAAACAGGTTTGTTTCAATTTTTGTTGAAATTTCTCATTGTCATTTTTCAGCATTTTATAGAGCGGCATCAATATAAAGAAGTTTTACAGAATAGATAACTCTATACCTTCTTTGGACACTGGATTTTTGTCGAGGCGAGGTTTCTTGGATTCAGACGGCATTAACGAATTCCACAAATAAGAAAACGTTCTGTGTATGTATAATTTTTCTTGATTTCTACGGTTTAGAAAAATGCGTTGTGATGACCTGTTTCTATTTTCTAACAATATCCTTTAAAAAAGGTTGCCGTTTGAAGAAATTTTTCATTTGAAATATTTTGGTTATACTTTTTATTGACTTATCATATTATCCGTGTAGTTTCGTTGTTCATCTAACACTCGCTTTAATCATTGTCCACTTCAGCGGCGTCAAAAAGCTGTTTCCGTGATTTAATTCATCATCAATTACTCTCCGTTTCCGTCGATTTATTCTCGTTAGAACAATTTCAAGAACCTTTTTAAACAAGTTTATTGGAAGGCGAAAAAAATAACAGGTTAGCAAAAACGTTGTGAGGATGCTGATGTAGACAGTATAAAAAGAGACTTCATGATATTCCCTGAAAAAGTAGTATTGATTACATAAAGATTAACCTTGAAAAAAATGTCATGTTCGTTAATGTAAAATTTTTCGTGGGGAACAAAATATATTTACGAACTTTTTTTAGGAAAAAAAGTAAGTATTAACTGAAAGGATTCTTAGTTATACACTGGAAGAACAGTTAAAACCAAAAAAACAGAAAAAAAGAACAAAGGCGAAAAACTCACAAACCTTGGTAATCGTCCGCGACTCGTTATCTTCTCTCTCCATTTCGAAAAAAATCACTGCAGAAATCCTGAAGTTCTTCAATCCAGAATGTGAACCGACTCCATGAAAAACCTTTTTTTCAAGATTGTTAATAATTCGATAAAATACTTCGCAGAACTCCGAAAAATCGTGCTTCTAAAGGTTTCCACTGCATTAAAAGAAAAAAGAATGAATGAATTTGAGAAAAAACCATGAACTTTAGTGAAAAATCGCTTCTTGTTGATGTGAAACCCTCGACTTCTGAGTTTTTTTGAAATTCTTGAATCGTATTTTTGCTTTGTCTGAAAAAGTATCATCAATGAATAAATACAGTAAAATTTTTCACGGCACCGAATCACAAGTAAAAAAATTCATATTTTTGCGACAAATGAATGAGCAACGATCAACTTGAAGAAACTGTTGTTTGTGCGAAAAAAACACGATTATTGGTTCAAATAAAATTCACAGAAGCAAATAATTTGCGAAAAACATTATAAAAAAACAGAATAAGAAAAAAAGAAAAAAAGGAAATAAAAAAAGCGGTGGCCGAATTTTTCCAAATTGTCTCCCACATTTGAATTTTTGGCTCGCCGCGTCGCACACGCAACACCTCGCCCTTGCCAACCAGCCCATATCACCTTTCAAGTCGGGAAACATTGACTATATTCGATGAAATTTCGGAAGCGACAAAAAAATCTCGCTCCCGGGTGGGCTCGAACCACCAACCTTTCGGTTAACAGCCGAACGCGCTGCCTATTGCGCCACGGAAGCCGCTGCCTGGCTGCTCTTATCTATTCCTCATCACACTCCTCAATGAATATGAAGGATAAAAACGTGGAGTGGATAAACTTTTGATACCTTTCTACCGCTGTAAATTGAAAGTCAGATTTTGAATTTCAAAAAAGAATGAAATAAAAAAGAATTCCTCTGAAGATTCCGAAAAATGAGAGAGAGAGCTTACAAAAGGAAAAAAAAAGAACTAAGTTTCAGTTTTTCTAAAAATTATCCTTTCAATAACTTCATCTAGTTTTTCTTTTTCTTTTGCTCAATCTTTTAAAAAATTTGTTCACGTTTCAAGTGGATAAAACTTCAGAAAAAGTGCGAATATGGCTAGTATTTTCCAGCAAATGTGCTCTGACAAAAATAAACTCCTCCCTGATTTCTTTGTATTTGACAGTAAATAAGAAGTTGTGACTTCAATAGAATGAAATAAAAATTTGCCAACGAATCCGAAACTTTTTGCAAAATGTCTTGAAAAATATGAGACTTAGATTAGAAGCTGGGAGTTCGCCGTATAATCTGCACCGCTGCTGTTTTTTTTTTTTTGATAATTTTTAAAAATTCACTCCTTCGAAATGAGGTGCTCTTCTCAAAAAAAGAGCACGCGGCCCTCTAAAAAAGAGCCGAAAGAAGTGCGTTTGCCAAAACAAGGCTTATCACCGTCAGGTGTACGGTGGCGGTTCCTCTTTCCATTTTTTTTTTTCTTTCCCGATTTTGTCCCCATTGTCTCCCCGCCTCTCTCTCTCCCTCACATATTGTTTTTGCCAGTCGGACGCCTTCTCGAGGGCTTCTTTATTGCTTTATGCCCCTCAACTAGGATGGTCCACTTTTTTACTTCTGTTTTTTACTGTTTTTTTTTTGGTTGGGTGCCACTGACTGGACTTTTTGCATTCTTTGCATACTTCAAAAGTTCGATTGCAAGGCGGTCAACAGACTTTTGAACAATAGCAAAGCTCAAGAAAGTCTGTGATAGTTATAACTACTCATTAAGAACAAAGTTGTTTTCAAGATTCGAAATTTTTTGAAGAATGGCTACTACACTATTTGATGTACCAATGATGATCCTGAACACCACAGTCTCTTCAAATTGCTAGTTTCAAAAAAAACTCAGAGTTTTCTACTTTCAAATGTATTTTCTCGAAACTCAGAAAGTTTTGCAAAACGAGAATTTCAGAACCTCTACTTAATTTTCGGCCAGCGATAGTTATATGAATTAATTTGTTCTTTTCATTTATCGAGTCTAACTTTTCTCATAATCTTTCTGAGAGGTTCCGGATAATGGTTCTACATGGCCAATGAAAAAAGTTACAGCTTCTAGCAACAAAAAAAGTCAAACTGTTTGCATGCAGAAGAAAAAATATAAATAGTACTTCTGATTTAGTCAAAGTTATTAAATTTTTCTCAAACTATTCTCGACTCGAACACTTTTCACAGCGCTAAACTGAATATAAATAATTCATATGCACTTCTCCGTAATATTTCTCAATACAGCCTTGCAGTTATGGCATTACTCCTCAAAAAAATGGGAAAATTTCCGGTTTTTCCTCCCTTTACTTCAGGAAACCCAGTTAGCCATACACGTTTCCTGTTTCCAGAGCTGTTTCCTGAGTGGAACATGCTTGAAAATCCGAAAAAAAACTTGAGGTGAAAATTTCTCTATACTCGTTTCTAGTTGCTCTAAAGTGGTAGAGCAGCTCCAAAAAAATTTTCCACTTAGGTTTTGCTAACTACATGTAGTTTCGAACTTCATTCACCGTTATCTTCTCAGGTTTTTGTAAAATCTCTTATTTTAATCGCTCCAGTGCTCATGTTCTTCAAAAATTCAGCGCTGGTTGAAGAATGGATCAAACTACAGCGATTAAACCATATCTCTAGTCTCAAATAATAGTTGAATACATAAAAAAAGCCTTTGATTTAATGCTTCCGTAAAAAAATTGAACCAAAAACCCAGTACTGAAACCAAAATTGAATTTAAATTTTAAATTTTGTTCAAAAAAAGTACTCAGACTACTATAGACCTTCTCATTGTTTCCAACTATTTATCTACTCTTTCAAAAACCCAAAAGCACCCCTTATTTTAAACTTTAGCCAATGACCTTCTGGTTGAAATTTTTTTTCATTTTTTCACTGCACGAAGCCTACGTAGTAGTTATCGAAAAAAAGTGTAATGGTCAAGACGCCCACTAAAGATTCCTTTGTTGCTTCCGACGAAGGTCAATTTCCCTATAGCGTGACGGCTTTTTTCCATTCTTCCTTTTTTTTTCTATTTTTCGCTTTCTGAGTCAGACTTCAAACTAAATGAAACCACATGACTACAACTAATAACGAGATTTGTTTCTGATACAGGTCTCAAGGCGAGGAACCTTTTCAATGTTATTTTTGGGCTTGAAAAAATTCTGCGTCTTTATATCCCGTGTCAAGAAATGAGTACAAAAATGAATTATTTAAAATTAACGCTATTCTTTTTCAAGGACCTTCAAAAGCGCGTCAAGACTCTTCTTTTTGATTGGAATTTTCTTAACAAGCTAACAATTGGCTGAATCACCTAGAACCTCTATTTTAACTGATTTTTCGTTTTGAAAAAATTTCTGATTCTTGTTATTTCAAAAAGAAGCTCTCTAGATGTCTATATTCGCTATTCGCGTAGACATCTTCAATCAAAACTTGAAACACTCTTCAATCAACTAAAACTTCAAAAAAAAAAGTTTCGACGAAAAGGCGTTCACTCTTTCAAGAAGACTTATCTTCTCTCAATGATGACCTCAGCTGATCAGAACATGTCACTGAATTTTCATTTCTCTGTCAACGGATATCAACCTTGAATCGTGCGCGCCGAAACAAAGAATACTTGGTATTGCAGAGGAGAAAATGACCGTTTTCGAGTCGTGGCAAAATGTGATCGACGTCTCGGCCCAAGTTCCCGAGCTCCATGTTCGCTATCAAAATCTTTCCGACCCATTCGATCTCAATCAGATCGGCGCCGGATACGGTGAGCATTTTTTTTTGTTCTCTTCCAATGTACATATAAAGAGTTTTGAGGCGTATCCAAGTATTATACCTTTCAGACATCATAATTTTCCCATTCTTAAAAACTGAAACCATTCACTTATAAACCAAGCGGTATTACAATTTGAAATCAGTTTTCGAATATTTTTGAGAAGCCTAAAGTTTCTTCAATTTCTATTAAAGTGGGTTATGTTTGTAGAGAGTAATTAATCAAAAAAATTACTCAAAAAAATTACTAAAACTTAAATCAATGTTTTAGTATATTCCCATTACTAATAGTTCTGAATTTTTCAAAAATTTTTGTTAAAGATACCTGGACAAAAAGCGAGACTCAACTGTTGATGCTGGCCGTCCTGTTGGTGATGATCATGTTGGCGTTGGCCATTATTGTCGCATTGGACTGTGGCAGACAGTGCCGACTTCACAATTGTCGGGAAGACGTTGAAGCTTCGATTAAAGGTACCCCTGAATTTCTCATAACTATTTTTGAAAAACAAAACACATCAAGAAATTTGATATTGCTAACTTGGGTCTAAAACTATGTATAACTGACTCAAAACCTATACGAAATCATTTAATTAGAAGCTACTCATAGTAAAGGATAGGGAAATGCATTTCATTTATATGGATGAAAAGAAAACCGTTTAAATGGTCGACTTTTATTTGTTTTAAAATAAATAATCAGAAAATGAACGTTTTCAGCACCTCCGCTCAGCGTCCTTGCACCGCCACCGTACACAGAACGTCAACCTTGAAATTTTTCAAATTGCCATTTTGTCAATTATTTTAGTCAATTTTACGGGTGTCCGACATCAAATGACAACGCTTGCATATCGCTAGCTTTCTATTTGGTTTTAATAAATTGGAAAGGAAGTAATGAAAACAATCGGAAGAAGAATAAACGGAACGAACATTTTTTTCTTTGGTTCCTAATTTGATGAACATCACTGATGCGAAAAAAATAATACGAAAAATAATAAAAAAAGACCCACCTTTACTCAAAAAAAGTGATTTTTCTCGGAAAGAAATGGGTTATCTTTTAGAATTTCGCCTTTTCACTTGAAAATATTTTTTCATGCAAAGAAATATAGCTGGTTCACGGCTGGCTTGAGCCATCTAGAAAAGGGTCCTGCCACGGAAAAAGACGAGACAGTGTCCTGGTTAGTGGAGAGTGCAGACAGGCCACGCCTTTTTGCGTCCCAAGCTAGCCGTGAATCGTCTATAACGAAAAATAAAGAAATAGAAAAATTTTTACAAAGAAAAACTGCGGAAACTAAAAATTTTTAATAGGAAAAGTCGCCCCAGGCAATTATTTAAAATCGAGCTTTTCGCGGGGATATAGAAATTTATTTCAACTTTTTTCAATACTTCTTCGCCGTTTAAACTTTGATTTCTTTTATTTCAAAAATATCTCCCTTTCAACCATATAGATGATTATTTTCATCTCAATTTCACTGCTTCATCTGTGAGCTCTCTGTAAATACCAAGCATTAAACAAATAGATCTTTTGATGGAAACTGAATAGTGCTATTGACATGCGTCTCATGATGTACAAAAACTGTCAAGTGAAAATCAAATTTTAGATTAAAAAAATATCTATTTTTAAATATTTTTCGTATTTGTAATATTTTTTTGTTATTTTTTTGTTCTTTGATTTTCAAGAGCCCCAAAGCAGTTTTTTTGGTATAGTTTGTTGCATTTCCTAGTTTAAAATTTCAACTGGGATTTTTTGCAGAGACCAGCTTCATGTTTTTTTTTTTGTAATAACTGTTTCAAGTATGTTTCAAGCCAATCAATTGAAGAACAGCTGACTCAAAATCCTTTTCGCTTGTGCTGTTGTCAATCTCAATCACTGGAGGAGAATTCTTTGGCCAGCTGATATTCATCAACGAAAAAAGCGTGTTTTATATCGATGGTGACGACAACAGGGCGTGGATCCCTCTATTATTCTCTTTTTTCTTGCCACCGTTATTTTGTATTTTTTTTCTCTTCTCATTTCTTTGTTTTATTTCGCAGGTTGTTAATCATAAGTGGTTTTTGAGCGTTTAAAATCGAAATTTATGTGAAAAAAACTGGCTTGGAAAACAGAAATCAAGAAAGTAGAAAAGCCCTTTGTCAAAGACTCGAAGTTTTCGATCCTGAATAATTTTTCTGAACCTTCACTTGAGGTTGTTCTAGATAACGGGTATAAATTGCCACCGCTTCTGACATTTTTTCAATTGCCCAATTTTGTGATGAGCTAGGAGTTGAAGATACCTTGAGAATTTCAATTGTCTTATTTTTTTAGAATAATACGTGCTGACAGGTAAAACTATAACGAAGATAAGTTATTTCGGATTTTTCTAAAGTTTGGTGCAGACACTCTCTGAACTACTTAATGAACGTCCTGAAAGTTCCAACTTGCCAAACAAGATGTTTTCAAGAAAGATGGGCTCCACGCTTCCGCGTGAACGCTTTTTATTGAGCACAAAGGTGTTATTTTTTTTTGCTTTGAAACGTCCTTTTTGAAAAATAAATAGAGTTTTGTGCGGAAGGTGGCTTGCAGCATCTTGATTCATTGTATCAAATAGCTCTTTTTACAGTCTATTTTGAGAATTATCCACGGAGCATAATTGACTCAATTAGAAGACGATTTTTGAGTTCTTTCAGCCATTTTCGCCATTTTTAATCTTGTTACTTCAAAATTTCTTATTTTTGAAGACCTCTTATAAAATTACCGATCAGAATCCATTTTAATGTTGAAATACACTCAAGTTTGATTGCTTATCCGACCCGGAAATCAGCGAGACGAAGAAATTCGTAGAAGAGACGCAGACGGTCACAGTCGGGTCAATGTTGACCCCCGACGCCCATTTCTGTCGTTCTCTTCCGTGTGTGGTCACGCTTCTACTTTTTTTTTCTTAGAAAGTTGATTTCTTCGACTGTTTCCTACCATCAAAACCATATTTTCATTGCCTGTTTCCTCATTTTTATTGATATTCTTCCACGTCAAAACGACCTTGAAATTTTCACACATCAGTTTCTCCCGGCGTTTCTCTTCGATTGATTCGACTTTTCCGCACAAGAACGCAGTTAAAAGGGTCAAATGACTTTTGCTATCCATTGTTCCCGATTTTCTGTTCTAAAAAATGTCTTAAGCGTGGAAAACTATCCTTCGTCTCTTTATTTATTATGTTTTAAGTTCATTTTAATTTTTAACTTGAGAATTTTTTTTCAGCGATGCTCTTGCTACTCTTTCTTTTTGTGATATCATTTGTATTCGCCGGCAGAGAAGGTTTGATTTTTTTCAGGAATTTTTATGAAAAAAATTGGAATAATTCAGAGTTTGTACTTCGTAAAGAATGCAGTCGTCCAGTTCACTACGGTATCCGTCCCTGCACATCAAAGCCGGAAATCCGGGTTAGTTGGGGGGAAAAAAACCACTATCAGGACCTTTTCTGATGGAAAAATAGAAAAATAGTTGTTTTCAAGTCCCTTTTTTTCAGTACGATTTTAAGATACTGATTTTTTTTTTCTTTCGAACCAAATTTCAGGTTTACTCTTGTTATTTCATTCAATTTTGAAATTCAGTACCACATGGATCCGGAGACGTTGACCTGCTTGGCTTTCAATTTCAGTGGCTGCGGAGGAAACGAAAACAATTACGCTTCAAAATCCGAGTGCTATCGTCGTTGTCTTCCGAGTTAGTTTGAAACAGAAAGTTTCGATTGAAATTTATTGAGTTGAAGAGTTTTTTGGTCTTATTCAGAGCTTTTTGAGCCTTAAAAACCTAATAGTTGTTAGGACCAGGATATAAAAAATCGAAAATATCCTTTTTTTTTTTGAATAAAAAGATTATCTAGTTTCTTTTTTTCAGTGGACTTCAACCGTTGTCCGGCCAATTCGAAGCCGCTGCCCCGTGCCGATGGCTCGACTAACTGCAATGAAATGGTTTTTTCAATCTAAAATTGTAGAGTATCGCACAAACGAAATCATTTCAGAACAAATGCACGGCCCAGAATTCCTACTGTGCGATGGGTTTCGTTGTGGGAATTTGCTGCGACCAGCGGATCCGAGGTAAAAAAAAATATTTAAAAAAAAAATCATATGACCTTTTTTTCAGATAAAGTCAATAACAATTATACGCCAGACTGTGGGCTCAACAAGACTTTGGTCAAAGTCAACACTGGATCGTTTGATGTAAGAATTTTGTAAAAAGAAAAATTGTAGAAAAAAATGGAGTATTAAGTTGAAAGAAAAGAGGGATTAAAGATGGAAAGAAAAATGCGAAATGCACGATAAGGTTACAAATATCATAGTCTCTCGAATTGGACTTCCAAAATGTGAAAGAAAAGGTCTTTTTTTCAACATGAGGATCAAAAAAAATTTAGAAATTCTCTTCATTCAGTTTCTATTTCTACATGTATATCATACCACTAAAAAAAATCATTTCGGATAATTTCAGCGTTCTAAAAAAACATGTCGCTTAATTTGATGGCAGTGGTCAGTTTTCGGAAAATACATTTAATTATTTTTCGAAGTTTTTTCTACATTTTTCAATGAGATATATCCGGTTTTTTCTATCTTGAGAAAAAAACTTCATTGAACAATTTTTTTTAGGAAATTCTTCATGGAAAAACTTGCGACGCAAATTTCTGCCCAACCGGTTCTACCTGCTACCAAGGCGACTACTTCGCATACTGCTGCCGGCGTTAAAATTTTAACCCCAACCATTTTCTCGAGAGCCAACGATATTGCCAAGCTTTATCTTCCCCCAGAACGTGTAAACGTATACGCATAAAATAATTGGTCCTGTTTTTTTTCACCTCTAACAGAGAAAATTTGGGTTTTTTTTTTTGAAAAGCGATTGACCCAAAAACAAAACCAATAAACGTGTTTTTGTTAAAAAAAAATCTAATAAAATGTATCAATGCTCCTATGAACACCCTAGCAAGCTCATAAATACAAAAGTGCATCAATAGCAAAGGAAATCGATTAATTTGACATGCACACAGTCAATAGTTTCGAGGCGCAAATAGTGTCAAGGCGGCAGCCGATTTTGTTTACATTTCACAAAGGAAAGCTATCTTATAGTGATCCCGCATTTACTAGGTTCAATTTTATTATTTTTCTTTTTTTTTGAAGAAGTAGAAGCTTCAAACATCAACAAAAAATGGATCATTTCAAGTAAAAACAAGAAATGTGCCCTTGGCAAACAAGTAATGCGCCAATCGATGTCGCTTAGCGCATTCAGCGTTTTTGTTTTTGTTTACGCGGTCCTCTGAAAAGAAACATTATTTGTTACCTTTTTTTTCTTATTTTTCGTGTTTCAAGCTGCCCTGCGAGTTCTTCAGAACACTTCTATCTGGTAGTTACTGCTGCTCTCAACTAGGCTGTCACTTTGCTGTCCTTTCCAACTCGTCGCTGTGAATTTTCTTCTGAAAGATATAATCGAAAGATTATAAAGAATGAGCAAATTTTTAAATGATAGATGTTTTTATCGAGGCCGCCTGCTGTTTCGATTTTTTAAAAGTCGTTACTAAGATGAAAAAAATTTTTTGAATGAGTTTCACGGGTTTTTCGTAGAAGATTGTCGGTCTAAGTGTTCAAAATCGTCTCAAAAAATGTACTTTTCTCTACTTAATGGAATCAATATTGTGTTTTGCCTCTTCATTTTGTTAAGGTGCTTGTAGTTTGTGTACCGTTTCGCAAGTAGAAAGGAAAAGAAACTAATTTCTCTTCTCGTCACTTCGTTTTCGAATTACTCCCATCACAACGCTGACAAGGAAAGATCGCCATCATTTTGATAAGACGGTCCTGTTCAAATACGTGTTCTTTGGCAAGTTTCGGTCGCTTCACTGAAGTTCTCACTTTATACTTCAATTAGAATCTCCTTAGAAGTACCGTCTTTAATTTCCTTTTATAAGTTTTGATGAAATTTTTAAAATTTGTGTTTCATTTGCCCGAAATTTATTTGAGGTGTATGTATAGAACAATTTTTTCTGCGTTTTTCCTGTCTTTGAAGGTCGTTTCTCCTACTTTTTTTCAAAAAAAATAAAAAAATAAAATATTTGAAATTTCAGTTCAGAAATTTCAGTTCAGTCATGCTGCTGTCAATCTTCACAGTTTGGCTTGGCCTTTTCTCAATTTGCTTCACATTTCTACCATTGTAAGTCGAAGTTAGAACCAATCAGCTTTGATGGAATCAGATTTTTAGTATGATGGTTTGGGAATGGAAAAAGCGAGGGACGGCTGACGGCTTCAGTTCGGTCAATTTTGTTCTTCCAGTTCTCATGTTGGTTTTTTTTCCAGACAAATTTTCATTCGACAAAGGGGCAGATATAATTCAGCGAAGTAGAGTTTGAAAAAATGGAAAATATGTTCAAGAAGAGAAAAAAAAAATGAGGAAACTTGGTTTTAAGGATTTTTTCCAATCTTTCCCAATTCATCTGCATAAAGAATCTTATAAGTATAGTCAATCCTTTTTCGACTTGAAAGACGAGACAGATTGATTAGCAACGGTGAAGTAGGAGGCATTTTTTTAGCAGATATTTTTCAAGTCGGGAAGAATTGATTATAGAAATAAATGAAATTAACGGGTTCAAATATTTGAAAAAAACAAATTTTTTTCAGCCAGTGCTGCTGGCTGAGACATGGTCTTATGACTAACGACCAAACCAACATCATTATTAATTCTTTGAACCTGGTTTTCTTCGCATTTTATATATCGGCTTTCGCCTATTATCAACCAAAAAGGGTCAGGTTTTTTTCTCTGGACTTTTGAATATTGGAGATTTTTTTCAGAAATACCTCATCGGTCAGTTGATAGCATTGGTGATCACTGTGAAGGCCATTTTTGCCTATGTCGATATGCAGGGTGGGCTTTTCAAAAAGTGTTATGGTCAAATGGTAGATGTAGTTCATGATCTCGGTTCTCATTTTACAGACCTTCCTAAAAAGATTTTTTGGTTCATGAACTTTTCGATTAACTTAAAAAAAAATTTTTACTGTTGGGAGCTCTTTTTTCGGACTCGAAACGAATTCACAAGAAGGTTCACTGATTAAAAATTTTTTATCCGGATTATCTTTGTCTTGAACCCTCAGATGAAGTATTAACAACAGAAAAACGTATGTTTTCTCGAAATTTGTTGATAAAAAAATGCTTTTTTTGTATAGTTGAAAAATTAAAATTTTTTTAACTGTTAAGAAATCGAATGATCAAGGCTATGTCTACTCAAAAGGTGCAATATTTGGATTTTTCGGAGCGTAGTTCATATATACTTGAAAGATCACACTCTCAACAACCTGAAAAAAAATTTTTTTAGGTCGTGTTATCCTGTTTTTTTTTTTTCAAAATTTAATATCCTGATATGAGTCTGAAATTAACCGTAGAAGATGTTGTCACATTTTGATAAAAGGTAACATGCCCGATTTTTCAAATTAAGCAAGCTTCCAACAGCTGAAAATATTCTTTAAATATGTTTTCAGAGCTTTTGACAACGAATTTTCTTGAATATTTCGGTAAATCAAATAATTTTCTTGTTCAGCTCCTTCGGAACAAGCTGATACGATGGGAACTGCCGCGGCGGCGGCCCAAATCGCCAGTCTCGCTGGCGGTCTTTACGAAATTGTGGGTTTTATTATGTTAAAACAATAACCGCGTCTCATTTTGAGCCTTCTAATCGATAACTCATAAATTTCGATAAAAGTCGTGCAATTTCAGAAACGAGCCGTTTCGATGGGAACAACGGAATATATTCCTGCCAGTTTCCAATTCGCCTTGTTCACTCTCATCGTCCAGTGGCTTCTGTTCGGAATCCTCCACGGCAATCAATTCATCGCTGTACGTTTATTTTCGCAATGTTTGATGACTTTTATCTTGTTTGAGAGAGCAGGTTTTTTGCAAATCGAATTAGTGTCGACTTGAGTTTGAGGATGGTTTTCCTGTTTTGCAGTTGAGATTTGTTAGAAGAATAGGAATTTCAATTGGAAAGTCTATCGGAAGTTTTCTTCTGTTAGGCTGGAAGATGAGTTGAAAATTCATTAGAGAAAAAAAAAAATCAATTTCCTTCTTGAATTTGGAGCTTTTTTAACGGTAGAACAAGGTCAACCTTCTCTTTCTTGGATTTTTATTTTTGAGATTTTTCGAATAATTTTTGAAGTTGGGTGAAATTGGTCAGACTTCCTATTAATTTGTTTGAATTGAGTTCCAATATTTCTGACGAAATTATTATTTTTGCTCGGGAAATCTTCTGCAAGTTTCATTAATTTCATCGAAATTTCGAGATCAGTCATTTCTAATATTGCACAATCCTTATTGCGGTTTGCAGTTTGAATAATCGTTTTCGAAGTCTTCTGGTTTGTGTTTTATGTACAATTGAGAAAAATCAAATTTCGTTATACGAGGGCTAACCAAAATGCGAATTCTTCGATTCATTTAAAATTACGATGTTCGGCTTGATTTTCATGAATGGTACTTTGGTAAGACGTGTTCTTTTTTTAAAGATCGATCTCACTTCAAAAAAATGCCCTTGAAATAATATTCTAGGAACTTTAAACTTCTAAATCGAGCTATCCCTTCTTTTTTTTTTCGAAAGTTTGAAGGTTTCAATTCTCAACTTTCAGATTGCAAACGCGGCGGGTCTCGTCGTGAACATCCTGACCTTGGCGACGTACTTCTTCTACCCGCCATTGACCTGGACCGTCCCGATCTTCAATATTCCGCCACAGAAGATCAGCGACAAGAAAATCTGAATAATTTCCCCTAATTTTTTTGCATTCAAGTTTGTTAGATTATGTATATTTTTTTGTATTTCTTTCTCTTTTTTTGCCCTAAACCTTGCCTAGCAATTTCTAGTATTAATGTCGAGACATTTTTTTCATGTAATAAAGTGTATTTTTATTTATTGATCTTGAAAAACTAGGAAAAGCTAGAAATAACAGTTAAAGTCTAGTTTTTCTCGTCAGTTCTAATTTACAGTTTGTCCAACAGAGCTTTTTAGCGGCATTTCGAGATACTTTGCCAAACCAGCCATTTGGGTGTTTTTTAAAAAAAATTAATATTTATTTTTATTTGAATTACAGACTCGGACCTTGGTGACGCAATCCGGACACGAATCGGTCGTGTCGAGGCATTTCTAGGGATCACTTTAGTAGCATACGCACTCTTAAGTGATCCCTAGACTTGCCCAGAAACGTCCGAGGGGAGTCCGGTTTGCGTTACGAGGTCCGAGGAGTCACAAATCTATAAAAATAGCCATCAATGTTCGTTTCCCTTCAAAATCTACCCCTTTTCGAAGTTTTTTGATTGAGTTATGAACCTGCATCTTGACACGTTGGATGTCTTGATAGTGTTATCAATAGATTCTTAACACACTGATTATTCGCAGATTCGAGGTAGTGAAACTTGAACTTTTCGAATTTTCCGATTTTTCTTCCTCACAAGGGAGGTTACTTTTCTTCGTAGTCAGTAATTTTCTAAAAATTGGCCAGAATTTCGAGAAATGACCCTTTTAAAATCTATGAGAAAAAAGCTAGTGAGATGAGTCTTTTTGAGCCTTTTTCCCTGAAAAACTAATAATTCTTGCAGTTTCGAAACGGATCTTTATTTAACAGGGAACGTTTTTAACCCCGAAATTTTGCTGAAACTTTGCTGAAGTTTACTTTAGGACCTCCTGATAGATCTTTTTCTGGGTTATGGAGCTTCAAAGTCCGCAAAATACGCAAATTAGGCCAAAAACCGCTATTTCGGGTTTTGGAAGTGTCCTAACTCGAAAACGAAATCTATTACAAGAAATTTGTTCTAGAATCAGGGGGTCCTAAAGTACATTTCAGTTTCAGCAAAAGTTCAACCAGTGGTAAAAACGTTCCATAGTTTGTAAATTGGAAACGTTACGATTTTCGAAGATTTAGAACTCTCCTGGAAGCAAAGATTCATTTTTTTTTTTCCAAACAACGTTCAGATTAGTATTAGAAGTTAGGAAATAGAATTTTAAATTTACCATTTCAGACTTTATTCAACATTTTGCACTCAAGAGCTCCAAAGATTTTGTTTGGAAATACAATTTCACGCTTAAATTTCATTTTTTTTTTCTTGTCATCAAAAATGACTCATTTCTAAGCATTGATTTATCAAAAATGCGACGAAGTGGAACTGTCTGACCTGCCTGCGCCCTCTTTTCCCTCACTGACGAAGTCACAAGGAAATAACATGTCAACTTGAGAGAGCCCAGAGAAACCAGCCCTTTTCAAGTTGCTGCGAATGATGGATATTAATATTTCTGTTTCAAAATGAGTAAAGAACGCAGTTTTGAAAAAAAAGCAAGTGTTTGTTATCACGCGACTGCCGCCGATATTGTTATCGGCCGGGTCCATGCAGAAATTCGCCTTGATTTCAGATTTCGCCCACTATTTATCACTCTTTCGACTATTTCGACGCTTATTAAGTTTGATTGTTTCAGGTATTAAGCTAACTTATCTGAACTTGAAAGGGAAGAAAAATCAAGGGCTCTTGAAAATGTCGCACATTGACCAGCTCCACAAGTTCTACTATGCAAATGTGAGTTTTTTTATGTTTTTTTTTAGGAAGCTTTGAAGTTTGAAAATAAAGCTTTTTATGAAAAGAAAAACTTAGATTTTATGAACTTAAAGGGTTCGAAATCATTTTCCTTACTTAATAAGAAGTATTTCATAATTTTTTTTTTGAGAAAGCTGGAAATTTTCTTAAACTCTATCAATAATGGCTTTATAAGGAGTTCATGACTTTTCTTCAAAGTTTCCCTTCAGACTCTTTTTTTTTACGAAAAAGTTTTTTTCTCAAAAAATTTAGGCCTCAGTTTTTAGAGTCAGTGTCTCGGAGCATTTGGAAAAAAACCTTTTTTCAAGGCTTTCGAAAGTTTCCCGGAATGATTCCCTTCAAACTAGGCTTGTTTTTCAATAGAAAATACATCGAAGTCAAAAAAAAAAAGTCAACGTGAGCAAAAAAAAAGACCGGGTCAGCGGAAAAGGCATTTTGCATTTTTGATGTCTTCACCCAGTCGAATTTTCCTCAAAGCTTTGAACTCGACTCCATTTTGTTTAACACTATGTTAGCTTGTCACAAACTTGAAAAAAACCGTTTTGGGGATCTTAAGGCGAACAACTTTTTTTGAGAAAAACAAGCTGTGAATTGAGTTTTATTCAGCAATTAAAATCTGACTCACTTCTGCCTATTTTTCGGGTTATTGTTGTTTTTAAAGTGAGATATTGAAGAACTCAATTTTCTTTCATTTGATGCCCATTTTTAATGGAAGGTTTTTTTTCAAAACGAAAATTCCCAAATATTTTGGAAGACCTGTCGAGAAGATATGACTTCGCGTTAAATCGCAAACCGCTACTCCCTTACGTCATCCCTATGACATCATCTTCATTTGCAAAATTCGCACACGCAGCCATATCATTTTATTCATTTTTTACGTTCCAATTTATAAAAATTAGATTCGACGTGAAAACTTTTCCGGTCACATGAGAAACAGAAAGATATCACACTTGAAAATCCCCTTTTGATCGGAAAACTTTTTTTAATTCTTCTATTTTCTTACTTTTTTTAGAAACCTTTTAAAGGTTTGGAATAATCCGAGGCGTCGAGGCCCACGCTTACGCATAGAATGTTCCTTTAAAATTTTTCTTTTTTTTTTTGGGAAATACATTTCACAGATTTTTCCGCTACGCGTATCAAGTTTGCAAATTTTTTAGAGCTACCTGATAGTGTTATTGTGTCCACGTTTTGAAACTAAATGCATTTTATGTCAAGTATTCATTTATTTGACGAATTTTTCACTGTGGCTCAGTTTTTTCGAAGCGAGCCACAGTCGGCTTCGCGCTATGCGCGCTCCGCCTCCGTGTGAAGCCTTAAAACTAAGCCTATTTTCTTAAGTAAGGCATGAACCTGTAGGCGCAGTTTTAATGCAAAGGCGCAATTCAGGCTCTTCCCATTCTTCAATTTTTTCAATTTAAATTTCAATTCATATCAATTTATTCAGTCTTCAGAGTAAGATGAAGAAAATCTCTGCTGAATCATGGTATAATCGAAGAGTTAGTCGTCGGCGCGAGTTACGGTCCACAATAGTTGTCCAATAAGTCCCGGCGTGACAACTAGCAGGAAATAATGTTGGCCCGTTGGTAGTACCAGCTAATAAACTGCTTCACCATGTCGGAACAGTACGGCGCCCAGCTTGTCCGGGGCTGACGGGCGTCGGAATATTATCCCATGAGAGAGCGGCAATGAGACTGACCAGTCGACGTGATGAAATGAGATAATAATAATCTGCTGAATCATGTTCACGTGAATAAAATGAATATATAGCCAAATATTTCGATTACGCTTATTTCTTGTGTTACGAATGATGTCATAGGGATGACGTCAGGGAGTAGCGGTTTGCGATTTAACGAAAACTGAAGATATGGGATTGATCTCGAAAATCGGAAAATTGCTTTTTTGCCCTGTTGTTACTGGTACCTGTTGCATATACTTTTTGATGTTTCATAAATCTCTTATTGAAAAAGAAATTGAACATCTTATTCTGAAACCATGCTTTCTGTACTATTAGAATAATGAAAAAGGCGTTCTGAATCAATTTTTTTGGCCAGAAATCCGCTTATTCCTCCTAAATCTTGCGTTTATCTGACGAAAAGCTCAACTTTTTTTCTTTCAAACGCCATATTTCATTTTAGTTACTCTACTTTTTGCGGGAAAGTTCTGTGAAAATAAAGTTCGTCCTTCAATTAAGAAAATTTTAATTGACTGGTCGGAAAAATTCATTTTTTTCTCATTTCAATTCATTTGAAGCAAAAAGCTTGTTATTTTTTTGACAGCGAGAAAAAAATATAATTGCGTGGCATCAGAAATAAATTGAGGAATGAGAAGAAGAAGAAAAAAATCGACCAAAAATCATTGAATATTCTGCTTTTTTTCATCACCGGCTTCTCGTGTTTTTTTATATTTTTTCTATTAACATTCATCAATTTGTATTTTCGTTTCCTTTTTTTGTTTAGTTTTCTGTTTCAAGTTGAAAAATCGTAACTTGAAAAAAAAAATTCTGTCGTTCCACTTCGCATAACTTTAATACTGAGAAATATGCAACAAGTTTTTTTTTTAATTTTCAAGTTTAAAATTTTTTCTCAGTTTTTCAAGCACTTTTTCAAACTGAATGTTGATTAACTATTAAATAAGGTAAAGCTATTTCTGGAAAGTGTGAGATTTTGGCAAAAAGTTTTTTTTTTAAAATTTTTCCTCAATTCGGAATTTTGGAACGTAAAACTCTTGAAAAAAACGAGTTTAGCATTTGTCTTTTGTGTTTTGGAAGGCGCTTGAGAAAAGGACAAAAAGCCGTTTTTCAACTCATTTCGCGGCCGACGACGACGACGGAAAGCTCCTTTTGGGCTGGATTTTCGCCTCATTTCCGGCTTCCTACTTTTTCGTCACCCCATTCATTCTTGCGTTGTACTTGAACATGTCTAGGCGTTTTTTGGATTACTAGGTACTTCTTCAGAAAAATTTGAATGTGTTACGAAAAAGGAAGGTTTTTAAACATACTACAGAAGACAGTAAATCTCTTTCCAGGTAGACTGGCAAGAAACTATAACTTTGAAGAATCATTCTCTAAATTTTAGTAAGTTCATACATACCCAAGCACGCTATGGAGAACTCCTTTTACGATTGGTTGGCTCCGCCTCTTTTTCTGGGAGACCAGAACCCAATGAACCATTATAATTGAAAAACATCCTGTTTTCGCTGAAATACTCAAAAACTTTGAGGAAACTATGAGAAAACCCTCAAGGTTGACGAACATTTTGCGAATTTTTCAAATCTTGAAGTTCAATTTTAAAGGCATAGGGGCAGTAAAAAATGGGGTTTCAGGTAAAAGCAGTATAGTCGATGTGCCACAAGTTGAAATTTCATGGAACGACACTCCGCTGTTTCGATTTTTGTGCGGTAGCGCGCATCTGGCGAATTTGCCAACTTCGGCCACGCTAATTTTTTTGGTTTTTCATTCTAATTTCGATCGTTTTTTTATTGTTTTATTTCTTTAAAAATGTAATATTATCGTTGAAAAGGATTGCGTTGTACAAATGTAAAAAGAAAGAACACAGTAAATTTCAAGATGTTTCTCGAAAAAAAGCGATTAAAAAAAGTTTGAAAAAAACTTCATGTATTCTTCAATCGCTTTGATATTGTTTTTTTCTCGTTTCTCAAAAAAAGTTTTTCAAAGACTTACCAAAAAGGATTTGCGGGTGAAACGCCACAATATTCTACAATAGTTTCTGTGTTTTTTTAAAGCCATGTTTTTAATGTTTTTCATCGTTTTTCTGTTTGCAGTCGTTAATTGTTTTTTTCAGAAAGTGAGCGCCTTATAAAATGAAGATGTGTACTTCCATGAGCACATGCACCATAATTTGAAGAAAGGTTTTTCGTTCCTTTTTTTAAATGGAGCTTTAGATAAATCGTATTGCTGAACTATGCGTCAGAAATGGGACGTGAACAGTGGGCACATGGAATAGTGGAAACGATGTGCTGAACGAAATGTCCAGAAAACTAATAATTTTTCCTTTGAACTTATGCATCTGTTTTTTTTTTAAATAAAAATTCGTCAATGTAGAAACATTCAATTTTTTTAAAATCATTCGTATTTTATTTCTGATTGGGATATTTTTTTTACATGATTTGAAATGAAAAAAGAAATGTCGATAAAGGCTCAATGAAGGTAAAATAACGGAATATATTGAACAAAAACCAAAGACCATCTCATGAAAAAAACTTTCAAATATTATAAACGCATTTTTTTCGCTTAAAATTCGAAAAATTACTCTACTTTATTTTTTTATCAATGAAACAGTCTATCCTCTAGAAAAAGATAATTATGATTTTGGCGCGAAGAAAAACTATTAAAAACATAATTAAAATAATGAAAATTTCGAATAAAACAAAAAAATGGAAAGCGCGACCGAAATTCGTAAAGGCAAGGCGCTTTCACGGCCACGGCCACCCAACGGAGTGTCGTTCCATGAAATTTCAAGTCGTGGCACATCGACTATATCTTATATAGTTTTTCTTTGCGAATCGAATGGTGTACTCGAAAAAATTAAACATGTGACAACTTTAGAAGAAAAACGCGATTTTACTTTCCCGCCTTTATTTTTGAAAAAAGCTTTGGATCGGTATGCAGACAAATGTTTACAGTAGCCGTGCACGCGATGTTGCGGACAACTCATTAGACTCGCGTTTTGTGAGAAACAACTGAATATCGGCTTCAAATAAAAGGTTTCTACTCTGAAAAATTGATTAAGAAAACGGAAAAAACACATCGATAATAAAGGAAACACAAAAATCGCAATCCCAATCGAAACCTGTGTGAAATCATCATTTTTCACCAGAAACGCATTTTTGCGATTAAAGTTGTAAACTATACATGAATAGAAAGTTTTTTGTGACGAAAAGAACTTTAATGACAACAGAGAAAAAATTGAAAATTGAAAAAAACGAAGAAAAAAGCGAAAATCCGGAAGATGGCGAAGCCTGTTGTCCATAGAGCAACTTTACTGCCAAGTGCCCTTTTTGCGGGAACTCAAGCTTTCCTTTCTCCGACTTTGAATTATTTTTTCTCCAAAACTAAGAACTTCTGTACGTTTTCAAGTTTACCGTTCGATTCGCACTGAAAAGCTCTGCAAAGGACGGCTTTGAAGTGAAACACCGTTTTTTACTGCCCCTATGCCTTTAAAATATTTTTCCAGTAAAAGGTCGTTTCGAAAAAAAAAGTGATGAGGTCAAAAATCTTCGCTTCAAGACCCAACCAACAACCTCAACCAACAATTATACGAGAGAGGCTCGGGGAAACGTGCTTCTCGCGCCTTTTTCCCTTTTCAATCCCAAGAAGAAAAAAAAACTCAGAACCTATTCATATTCATTCATTCATTGGCTTCACTTGGTCGAACTTTGATTCTCCTTGAAATCCGTTTACTCTTGGTAGGCAGTTTCATGTATCAAGTGTGTTTCGTCGCTTCTCGAAAGAAGAAATTCAATACTGAAGAGGAAGATTCTTTCAAGTACCCCAGGCTTCTTGAGGAGGCTTGGAAAATTCACAGAGAAACTTTGTCAAATAAGTGATTTTGTCGTACCAGAAGAGTTCATCCGCTTCCAAGACATTTACTAAGTTTTTTTAATATATTTTTTTCGAAAATCGGTCAAAATTTTTGAAGTACGCGGAAATATAACTCCTCGAAATCTTACAGATGCCTTCGTCTATTTCATCTTCCATCTCGACGTCATTCTCCTCGTCACTGCAGAGCTTCATGACGTCAGCTTTCCCAACGTCTTCAAGATCCGCCGCACGACGACATGGGAATTCTGTGGGCTCTTCGGGTTCGACGTCCGCCGCGAGCAGTGTAGTGGAGGATCTTCACGCTCCTCCTCCTTCTCGTGACAGAAATCGGAGTGAGTAATCGCAAAAATAACTAAAATGCGAAAAATGGTCTATCAATCACATTTTTATCATATCAATGCAAGCGCTTACACAAGCGAAAAGTGCTATGTTGAAAGTTACTGTAATCAAGTTGTGCAAACACGTGCCGGTCTGCAGCTTTGCGTCGTCGCCTGAAAGTATTTTTTTTCCCTTTTTTTTCTTTTTTTTTTTTAATTGTTAAAATAAATTCAAATGATGTGTTTATTGGAGAAACGGAGCATTTTCTAAATCGCCAAATTTGTTAATCGTCGTGCCCAAGTTGATTCGAAAAGTTTTTAATTTTCGTTTGATAGCGTTCTGAAGGAAGTTTAGTTTTTTTTTCGACTTTCACGCCTTAATGAAAAAGCATACTTTTTGAAATTTTTTCAACCGATTTTGTGCGAGCTCTTCTGCATCTTTGTGTTGCAACATTCATATATTTCTGTTTTTTTTATGCTGCTTTTCATATTTCCCCTTAGTTCAAATTAATTCCACCGTTTTGCAGCGTCGACGGGGCCTTGGTCTCGACGAAGCACAAGACTGGACGACATTCGAGAAGCTTCAACGTCCGGCGGCAGCGTTGCGCCACGACCGCCAAGGTACGCCATTTTCTTCGTCTTCTTTTTTGCAGTTACTTTTTAAGGTTGCAAAATATGATCGTCACAATAGTTTTAAAGCGAAATTTCTGGAGGAAAATTCTCCTGAAATTGGTCATTTTTCTTGTTTTACCCGTTTCAAAATTAGTTGTATTTATACTTGGTAGACTTCTCAGGATGCAAATTTTTACGTAGAATCTAATTTTCTTGCTTTGTGAGTTCGTTTCAAGATCATTTTTGACAAAACGTTCTAAATGGAAAAATTTTTTATTTTTTAGGTTCGTGCTGATAGTTTAGTAATGTTAAATGATCTGTCTTTTTGTTTCAATTAGATCTCAAGTTCATTCAATTTTTCGGACTTTTAGTACGATGGTCGGACTTTCTTATATCAGAAAGTTTTCCATTCTAGAAGCGATTTTTTTTTCAAACTTTTCGAAAGCATTTTAATCGCGAGAAGATCATCACAGTATATTTTCTAGTGTTCAATTAAACTTTTTTTTTTGTGAAAAAAAAATTATTTTGTCTTGGACCCGGGGAGGAAGTTATCTGAGAAAGGTGTACGTAGCGATGGAGCTAGGCGAAAATAATTTATGCAGAGCAAAGGAATTACGTTTGGCGTAGAAGAAGAGGGGGGAGGCAAATGCAATGGAATTTGATCTTCACCCGCCCTCCTCGTCTTTCGTTTTTCCTCTTCTTTTTTTCCCAATTTTTTTTCGGGTTGGTGCTCAGTCAAGCTTATGAGTGAACATGGTTCCGGTAAAAACGTTGAAAAAGCTGATTTTCGATTCTAAAGCTCATTTTTGAAGAATGTCCAAAAAAAAGATGCCATGTTCCATCAAAGTTTGAGTTTATCAGTGATTTTGAAACGTCTTCATTTAAAATTCGCGCTTTTCTTAGGTTTACCAGAATTTTCCGGCATTCTTTGAGCCTAATATTTGGTTGCGTCATCCAAAGTTTTCAAAAAATACTGTTTTTGCGCAGAAGTATTCAGTTGTAGCACTTATTGGCATCTTATTATTTGTGTGAAGAGAACAAAATTGCTTCGAAGAAGTTGAACACAAATGAAGTGATAAGTTATTGAAATCAGAAAATTTCAAGATATTGGAAAACAACTAATTTTTGGGCACTGTTGAAAAAAGGGATTTTCAAACCGACTTTTCACGTTTGTTCTGGTGTATCGTAATTTGGTTACTATAAGTCTCAAAAGACATGTATTCAAGCTGAAATTTTCTGTGAAAAATTGTTTTTGTAATTTTGAAATGAGGTAGGGTCACGAGGCGAAATGTAAAAGCTCTTTTTTATTTTAATAAGGTCGAAAAATAATTTTTAAATGAAACCCTCTGCAAATTTCGATTTGCAGCGGCTCTAATGACAGTTATTTACGAAGGAAGAAAAAAAGGTCTTATAGAATGATTTTCACGAGCAGCAAAAGAGCAGACTATTAATAAATTGGGACAGGTGAATTGTTTGTGGGCCAACTGAACAGCTGTTCGTTGTCCTCGTAGAACCTGCAAAATAAATCTATTTTTTTCTCGCCCACAAGTCAGCTTCATAATTCAATTTGATGGTTTCATTTTTGTCTAGTTTCTTTTTCAAAGTCCGCAAAGGACGTTTTTTTACATTTTATATTTATCAAAATTGGAAAAAAAGCCCCTTAATTGAAAGAAGTTCAGTTTGGGAAACATTTTTTGTTTTTTTCCGGTTTTTAATCGATTTTTACGAAGAAAGTCACATTCCGCACTATTATTTATTTATTACTCCGTTTTGGACTTTGAAAAGTGAACAGGAAATCCAGGAAAAAAGCGTCTCTTCTCGTTCTTTGTTGTCTGCTCCCTTGGGAGCTTTTTTCGGACAAACTTTTTTTTCCTCCTTCTTCGTCGGAGCGTTTTATTCACGCTTTCCATCATTTCTCTCTGTGTGGAAAGCAACTTTTTACTTACTTTTTTTGGTTTAAATCATTAATTTTTAAAAAAATTGTTTAGTTTAATTAGGCAATTTTTTTCGTTTTAAATTTGAAACAATATTCATAAAAGTGCATCTTTATACAACATTTTGAAGATTGATTTCTTTTTTTGTTAGTCGTTGAGATACGCCGGAATAGCAACAAATTTTTCCCAACCTAGCAAATATTGACGTTACTTTATAGCTCTCCTTCTAAATTGTTAACTGTTATTTTTTATTTTTTGGATTCCTATTTTCTTTTTTTTTATTTTGACAGCTGAAAGTTAGCTTTTTTCAGATTCAGACGCGTCAAAATAAATGAGTAAATCGACCAGAATAATAAATTTAGGTGATTATTCAAAAAGCTATCCAAAATAACCTACTTTTACACTTTGATAAGATTTTTATAAAATTTTTGCACTCGATGCTAAGAAAATTTTTCGAATTTAGGTGCATTGAGATGAGATTTTGAGGTTCCTCAAGAAGTGTCAAATCGCATTTGACGGCACTTGAGAAGGGCGAATTTTTTCCCTTTTTCGTCCCTTTTTTCCGTCGGTCATTTTCAGCCGAAATACCGATTAGCGTTTCATTTTTCGTTTTTTTCTTGACTCTTTTCTATTAAACTATTTTTCAAGCCGTTTTTTTATCGTTTTTAATTCATAGAAAGATGATTTTTTTCACCGTGTTCAACCTTGAAATTTTGAGTCTTTCATAAGAAAATGCTGTGAATTGCACTACTTCACTTTTCGGACTTCACGATTTTTCTTCAGGAAAGCTGGTACATTTTCTCGAATTTGCGGGTTTTTTTCTCATCAGAAAAAGCTCAAAGGATTCGAAAGGTTTTGTAGTCTGGTCGAATGATATCAAGAAACAAGTAGGGTGTTTATTTTAAGAATTGTATTTTGATACATCGAGTTTTGAGCCTTAGTTTGTACTTTTTTGCGCTTATTTATGAGTTTTGAAGCTTTCTCTTGCCAGAAAAATTCATAGTTTTCATATTGAATCTGTAAGATGAAGAAAACTTTTTTTTTTCGATTTTCACCGGCTTTCAAATCTAACCAAAGTACTAATTAATGACTCATTGTTATTGTTTTTGCGCATTTGTAGCTATGGAATATTTTTGTCTCTATAGTGTGGAATTGGTGGCTTTTTGCGAACCGTTTTCAAAATTTCATTTTCAAAAATACCAATTTAAAAAAAAAATTTTGCATTTTCTTTCTATTGTTCTTAGGTTATTTCAACATTTTTTTAGAAGAGTTTTTTTCAATTTTTTTCAAACATGAAGCCAATTTTCAATTTGAAGACTTTAAACCTCGATTTTCGGTAGTTTTCTTCATAGCGCGCATGTTATAACTTTTATGAGGCTTTTTGTTCGTAACTTGAACTGAAGGTAATTAGAATTTTTAGTTGTTTTTTTAACGCTTTAAGTTTTTCAGAAAGACTTTTCCGGTTTTTTTTTTCAAAACCTGAAATTTCTGAGCTCAAACATTTTACTGGACAAAGGGTGCCGCGCAGACGAGAGGCCAAAAGAAAAAAAATCTGATTAGCCTCAAAATCGAATACTTTTTTTCGCCCCGGGGTGTCTAACATTTCGACCCGACGAACCGGCGGATTTTCCTCCTTTTTTTGCCTTTTATTCTCTTCTCTTCGGCTTGACATGTATTTTTTTTCCCACGTTAATTCGATCGGTCTTTTTTGCCGTCTTTTCGTTTGCCTGATATGTATATATACATATCCGTCATGTTTCTCTCCCCCTTATATACGCGGCTCACGTCGCAAAGGGCCGAAATGTCAAATCCCCTGCAGTTTTTATTTCATTTTTTTATTGTTTCATGCTGTTCAGAAGATTAGAATCGTTTCTTTTTTTCGATTAGAATCATTTTTGGATGCTTCGAAATTCAAACTAGTACACTCATTTGTAGTTTCTAGCTTCTTGCTTTGTTCTTAAAACTTTTTAAAAAAAGCTACAGTCGAATAATTAAATTTAATTTCTTTGCAAAAAGTAAAAAAATAACTCCTACAAGTATTTTTTTGCACCTTTACCATTTTTTTGTATCCTAATAGAAAATAGGCGGTTTTTCTGACATACTCTATATACCACTGGCTCAACAAAAAAAAAATGCATTTACATCCCATTTTTGCGCATTTTTTTACCCTTTTTTTTATAAAATAAATTCCATCTGAATAATCCATAATTACTGCGGAAAAAAATTAGTCATGCTCATGAAATTCATCTTCGTCTTCAATAATATTTTCCAATTGAGAGTCCATTTTTTCACCTAATTTTCATGTTATTCCGTGGAATTGTAGTTAATTAATCCATTTTTCTTGCCCTTTTTTCACACGACGCTCTTTTTTCTTCTGTCTTTTGTTTTGAATTCAATGCCAGTAGTGATAAACAGATGGAGAATGTCAGAAATCAGTCTTTTAACCGACTTTGAGTCATTCTCAAATCGAAAAGTTTCTTTCATTTTTTCATATCAAAAAAAAAAAAAATCAATTATTGGTTTGAAAAAAATTGAATAGGGAAAAAATCGAAAGGAGAGGTTAGAAACTGATAGATTTTGTTTATTTTGATCAAAAAGTAGCACAAAATATTTTTGAAAATGTTTTCGGGAGTTTTAAAAGTTCTGTCTGGGAGAAATTTATGTACATTTGATATATCTGGGACTCCAGTAAGAAAAAATATATTTTGAAAAATTATACCTGACTTGACGCACGTTTTTCTCGTAAGGAATGGCTCGAGGCGCAACCATTGCGTTTTGGCCGCATTGCACTGCCTGACAAAAAACGGTTTGCGCGCAATAGGATCCTCGAGTGAGCTAGCTTCTCAGTAAACCCACGGTCGATGCTGTTCAAAAGGCGTCCAGTCGGGTTCAAGTCGTAGTTATTGAAATATATACAGCACAACTCGATTTGGAAGCTATTCTCTACAAAGTTTGAACGTATTTTGTAACTTATAAGCAACTTTCATAACTTATCTGCACTGAATCCAGGATTTTAGCAGTCTCGCATGTCTGCGCCTTCTTTTCTCTCAATGGAGAGGTCATAGAATCGTGAAAACAGCACATGAAAACAAGAGAATCGCTTGAAAAGAGAGAACTTTGATAAAACAGTCTGTTCCGTTTTTCCTTAACCTGGTTATTTTCAAGAAATAGGTTCTTCTGAAAGAAAAGTCTTTGTTGACCATCTACTGGCCAATTCGGATCCCCTCTCTATTTTAGATAACAAATTACGGAAAAAAACGAACCAAATTGGGTAGGATGAATCGGTTTGGAAAAGGAAGGATTGGTGCGGGATGCAGCATTCGTTACCTCTTTGATTGGCGTCCGGAAATCTGCTCCATTTTCTCCCCTCTCGTTTTTTTTTCCAAAGCCATTCCCCTGCTATCCGTATACATACTCGAATTAATCGTTCTCATTTATCGGGAAGACCCTTCCGGCCGCCTTTTCGCCCATTTTTTTCGTTGGATTTTTGGACCTTTGGACGTTTTCGCGGTGATATTTTGAGCTTTTGGGATTTTTCTTCACTTCGAAAATCGTGTTTTAAGAGTTTTATTGATATTGCAAAGCTGAGTTAGCTGCAAAAAATCAGGAAAAAAGGAAAATAAAAACACTTTTGGCCTTGGAGCGCACTTCAACAATTTTTTTCCGCCTTCATCGGAATTTTAAACTTTTGAGCATGCCTTTAATAGTTTTTGAACTCACATGGCTTTTTTTTCAAATAGCATAAGCAACATAAAATCAGTTTTTGAGAATTTTTCAAAATCAAAATTCAAATGGAAGAAAAAATAATGTAAAAATCAGTTAAAATCTTCTTGGAAAAGAAAAAAAATTTTAGATTAAAAGAGGCTTCATCATTTATTTTGCGTTGAATGAGGAGAAAAATAATATTCATGAATATATGGAACTTTCATTGCGCGTACTTCAAACGCGCCGGGGGAGGACTCTCTTTCTCGTTATTTTTGTTCGCTGAGGCATTTCGGAGGCTCATTGAGCACCTTCATTTCTGCAAACCGCCTTCAACTCTTCTCCGTCGGCGAATTAAAAAAGCATCGCATCAAGTTGAAAATTCTTCCGACTTCTGGAAGTAGAAAAGTCGGTCACAAACGAGCTTTTTTCGCTGATTTTTTTGTATCTGAGGAGTAGCGACCAGTTTCAAACAATGGCATAATATCAACTTCCAAATGGACGTGTCCAATCTTTTTTTTTGTTCGTCCACTTCACTTTTCGCTCAGTTTTATCACATTTATAAGCTTGCGACATTGAGAAGAATCCTAAAAAAGCATTCACAATGTTTTTTTTTCAAATCAACTTTTTAGTTCTTCATTAAATTAAATTATTTTTTAAATTTTATGATTATAGGTATTTTTTTGGTTATTCGGAAGCTAATTTTTTTGGTGGGAATTCTGCCTCTAAGCTTCACGGCTTCTTGAAACTTTCAGGAAGAAAGTCCTTTTCAAAAATTATTTTTCAATCGCATTGTTTTTTTAATAGACTACAGGAAAATATGAGCTCAATCCATTCCCAATGCGACCATTTACAGTAATCTGAACTTAACTTAAACTGATAGGAGTTTTGAAAGATCTTCAAAATCCTTTTTCTCTTCCAAGTTTGTTGAAGATTCTAAAGAAATCCTCAAAATGTTCAAATTTTTTTCAAAAAAAGTTTTTTTAATTTTTTTCTAGGTTCCTAAAAAAATCGTTTATTGGCGTATTTTTTTGCCTCCTTCTCTTCTTTTTCAACTGTGTTGAGTGTGGTATTGACGATGAGAGTGGAAAAGTGAAGAAAATTAACTTCGTTTCATATTTTGCTTGCACACAGAGAAGAAAGCAAAGGCAAATTGGAAATGATTTGATTCGTTCGTTTCGAGAAAAAAAAAATATATTTTGCTTTATGTTTTTGCTCGTCTCATTGGGCGGCTCTTACTGAAAATGAAACGAAAAATCGGGAACGCGAAGCTACAATTTTTGAGATTTTTCCGCCCTTTATTATCTTATGCTCATACAATTTTGTATTGAACTCCTTTGTTCTTTTTCTTTGCTTTTATCGAGAATTTCGGTTTTCCGTGCGTAAAGCTTTTTAGTGCCACAAGATTACCTTCCTGGTACAGTATTGGTTCAGAAATTTCACTGGAGGAAAATTTCTAATTGCTCTGTTACTCTCGTGGACGCTGTTTATCAATCGATTTCAGATTTTGAAATAGTTGAAGCCATAGTAACGTTGATGAAAAAATCCTTTTTGTGCAGGTTTTTCAAATTTCGAGAAATTATGTGACAAAATTATAAATTATTTTGAATACGTTCAATATCCAATGTTTCGAGCAGGTTTTTTGAGTGAAAAATCCAATTTTTCAAATTAAAATCTTCGCAAACTGGTTTTATGTTCGAAACTCATGTCGTGTTCAAGGTACTTTCCTCTTTTTTTAAATATCTCTTTGAAGAAATTTTTTTGACCTGGACCAAGAAAAGTTGGTACATTTTCTTGAATTTGAAACTTCAAACTTTCCATTTTTTTTTTTTCGTTTGAAGGTTCAATTTGATCGAGCTCGAACACACAGTTAAATCATACAGCAAAATTGAAGAAGCACAAAGAAAAGGGTCTGGTCCACTTACTCGTAGAAAGGGCCAAGGGGCGTTTTATTCGATTACGCTTCTCCTTCTCTTTTTTTTTCGGTCATATCACTTTTTTCCCACTTCCATATACGTATTTTGAATTTTTCTTTGATTCAAAATTTTGAGAAGGAAAGATAAAGATTCTGTAGTGAAGCTGGGATCCGATTGTATTCTGCTATATCACATTTTCTCTTCCTTATTTTTCTACTTTGAACTTTTCTCCAGTCCGTGTCTTGGAGTTAGAGAAAATAAAAGTGCAATCAAGCCAAGAAGAAATGAAAACAAGACCTCGAAAAGGCTTAGTTATTAGGGCGATTGAAAAGCTTCTTGCACAAGTAGACCTTTTACATGGAATTCAACTCAAATAACACTCCTCTGCCTTTGAAAAAGTTCTGAATGGTGCAGAGGTAGCATTTTTGACTAGTATACTGGGCTCGGAGGTTTGAATCCTCAGAATTTTTCTCATTTTTGACTTGTCATTTTTTGATTACTTTTGAACTTTAATAGAGGCCTATCATTAGATGAAGTACTGAAAATTGATAAATAACTCAAGTTCTCTCAGTTTTTTTGAAAAAAATTACCATCTACTGATTTTTTTGGTCTTTCCTATCAAGTTTTTCTCGTTTTTTTAAAGTTGTAGGAAGAACCAAAATTTGGGAAAAAAAGTAAATATAGCCGCTTATTTACTTTTTTTGGCTATTTAAAATTTCTTAAGTTTCAAATTTGAATAGAATCATTCCAAAAAGATCAGATAATCCACTACTTTTTGGGGATTCTGTAAAAAACCTGAACATCTTCTTTCAAAGTTTAGCTAGTACAAAAATCAATAAAAAAAAAATATTATTGAACATTTCAGGTAGTTTTTCTAGGTTTTTGAATTGTAAAATGGATCAAGGATCAAAGAAAAGTGTTAATTTTTAATACGATTCGCATTAGGTTTCAAGTTTTCGATCGACTTGATAAAACTCTCTTTCTTAAAAGCTTTTTGATGTCTAGCCAAAGAAAATGAATGACGGTGTTTCGACGGAACGAATCTCTTGTAAACAAAGAAGCTGATATTTAAAACGGATTCTTCATACGTCTCAGACGCCTATTTTTAAACATGAAGTGCAATGCAAATTTCGTGTTTTTTTTAAATGGTTTTCACGACTTTCTAGTTATTTTTTAAAGTTTTTAATTTTCAGACCGTTTGAAATCTGCAGTAGATTTTTGGATTTTTTTGGAAATATGGATTTTTCTGGTTCCATTGAATATTTTTGAACTAAAAATATGGTTTTTTTAGCAAAAAAATCTTATTGCGGTACCAAGTAAATATTGAGAGTTTCTGCGACTATTCTTCGATGAGTGAAATAAAGTTTTGACTAAAAATAGAGTAATTCTTTTCGATTTTTTGCTTAAAGAAGACTCTGCTGTTTTAATTTTCGAGTATTTGCATCAATTTTAATTATAACATACAAAAAAAATCATAAATTCAAGAAGAATTGTGGAAAAATCTGTAATCTTTCCTGTGTAATATAGAGTTTGGAGTGAAAAATACGTTTTTCTTTTTTTTCTCGATTAAATTACATACATTTATTTCTCTCGCAGCTCCGTTGAACATCTGGCGCTAGCCATTATTCATTTTTTCGATCTAAGATTGGAACATGTGTTGACGCTGTTGTTGGATCGGAGTTGCTTTCAGAGAATGGCTTTTTCTTTGTTTTTTTAAATTTTTTTAATTCATGATTTTTTTAATTTATTTGAATCAGTTCAAGTATGAAAATCTCGGAAAAAAATTTTTGTAAGATTCTAATTTCCTCTTTTTTTCTAGTTTTTGAAATTGTGCAAGTTAACCTCAAAATTTAGAATTTCTAGAAAAATTATAGGATTTTTGAATTGTATGATTTTTTTCATCATATATATGAACGAAAAAAAGGGCAAAGAGATTATTATAAAAAAAGTTTCATTGTCGGTTTTTTTATGAAGCGTAAATGGTCTTTGAAACTGATTTTTTTCTTCACTGCCGAGTTTGAAATTCAACGGCGCTCTAATAGAAGAAATTCGCTCTAACGATTTTTTTATTTTTAATTTTTCAAGTTTTTTTAAATATTCGTAGCTTGAGATCGATCCATCTTTTCCTTTCCTCTTCGTGAACTACTTGTCTTCTTCTATATCTGGTCCAGCTATATTCCAAAAAACCCCTTGAGGGCTCACTTCAACAGCGTTTGGTGACGCTCTAACCACTCATGTGATCTCATCGCAAATTGTTTTGGCCTCTCTCAAAGTGAGAAGAAGCAATGGAAAAAATGCAGAGGTTTTAGGTTTTTTTTCCTTTTCTGTGCGTGAGAGTGCAAATGAATGAGAAATGGTGGCGTTTTTTGACGAGTTTGAGGTGCGGAAAAGAGAGAAGGGGAAAAAAACCGGGGCCAGCAGTACTGGTGTGAGAGCCTCAGGAATAAGTTATCTCGTCGGCATGGGAAAATCGGAAACCTTGGCTCTCCTTTTCCTATATTTCTTTATGTCACAATTTTTTCTAGTGATCGATTCGATTCCATATGGTTCATTGTACCTTGTGAAATTTGCATAAACATCCCACATAAAGGTTTTTTTGAACCGCAAACATTTTTTTGATCAGTTTTCTTTCTAGAAACGAGAATTATTCAGAAATTGCTTCATTGAGAAGTTAATATTTTACCGTAATGAACTTCTTTTTTTGTGATAAAGTATAATTGTTTGGTCCGGAAAGAAAGAAGTCGCTGAATTGATGAATAGTCATAGCTGAAATAATCATCCTTTCTGATCGAAAAACTAAAAGATCAGTGAGTTTTTGAGAAAATATGTCTTGAAACCGTTTATCGAAATATTGCGCAAGTGAAGAGAGTTTTGGTAACTCGAGATTTTTCGAAAAAACGGAGGGGTCGGCCCTCTTTTAGCGGTCACTAAAGAGAAAAATTCCCCTGAAGGCATCACTCAAAGATTTCTCTGTTTGTCTATTCCTGAGAAAACTTACGACACTCTCATAAAAGGAGTTTCATCAATTAATTTACCACAAGATTATATTTTTAAAAAGTATTTTTTTTTCGTGTTTTTCGGAATCCCCAGTCAAACAGTAGCTTTTCTTTTCATATATATTCAACATACAAATGTAAAATTGACTATATAAAAATATTAGGATGAGTTTTTTCCACTGAAAATTTTCGAATTGGTTGACTGAATCCTTCATGAGTCGCCATTGAAGAGAGAACGAAGGCAGATGCTCAAATAATAGATTCTCTTTGGCTTTTTCCAAGTCATTCATTCGCTTTTTCGACGATTATTACTCTCGTTTTGAGTAAATGAATGTGGAATAATGGTAGAAAATAAGACTAGAGTCATCATTTTGGTCTCAAATTCGAAAAATTGGATATTCTTCTATCGGCTTTTTTATTTTGTCGAAATTGGAAGCAAGCAAGTTTTCTAGTAATGACAAAAAAACGTAGGGAAAGAATGAAAGATTGGTATAGAAATAAAAGTTTTAGAAACCGATAAGATAATAGAAATAGGAAACTCTCACGTAAGAAAGAGCACAGAGAAAGGAAGTTTTAAGTTTTTGTGACGAAGTAGTTTATTTTTTTCGAATTTTTGGAAATTTGAGAAGTACTAATTTTTCTTATTTGTTCAATGCATTATATCGGCCAAGCCTTTTTTATGTTTCAAAGTGATCAATCAGCATCATTCTGTATCTCAAATTTCCCACTAGACTCCTCTGAAGTTGAAAAAAACTACCCTAAAACATCGAGAAAAAGCTCATTATAATGAAATCGAAGGCTAGAAAATATTGAGAATTTTTTCAAAAAGTTGCCGAGTTTTCTGATAAATGCATACACCTCTCTAAACCCCGCAAAAAGAGCGACCTCAATTGAAAGAGAGAAAAAGTTCATTAAAATTATATTGAGAGAGAGACTGGAGGAGAAGGCTTGAAAATATATTTATTTGCGCAAACACACTCCCACACGCTTGTTTTGTCCGAATCTATCGGGTGTACTAGAAGACAACCCGGAAAAAAAAGCGGCAGGAAGCTTTCGAATTGACTCGATGCCTCTTTTATATCTCGATACCTCCACACTCATGTCTAACCCTTTTCTTGGCGGTCATTGTGGGAGTCTGGAATTTTTCTCATTTCATGTACTTCGTGTACGATGGGAAAAGAAAAATTTCCAGATGATTTTTTAAATTTTTTGATTTGACTCATTCCAATTGCGACCAAACCGAAACATTTCTATACTTTTTTGAGTAGTTTCAAAATCTTACAGACCAATCAAATATAACAATTTTTTTCGATGTACGTCTAAAATCGAGCAAATCTGAACACGGTAGTTTAAGCTCAATTATTTGGGTTTTTTGAAAGATTTCTCTTTTATTCTTGTTCACTGCATTCTCAAAATGTTCTTTAAGCAATGTTATTGGATAGCCATTCCAAATGCGATCGTCTTCTGAGATGATGGAACTTTTCTGAACTTTTTGCGTCTTCCCGTTTACTTTTCTTTGTAAAATGAGAGTTACATGTGAAAGTGGCTTACTTTACAAAAAAATTAGGCTTTTTCAAATTCAATCATCTTATGATATGATATTAAGATGAAAAGCTGCTCTTATTTTGACGAGGCCTTCTTTTCTGCTTTCTTTCGAACGAAGTCCAAATTTTGGTGGAAAAGTAGGAGGACACAAACTGGACCGAATCCAAACGTGACTCCAATAAAATCCGACTTTTTTCACGTTTTCCTGTCGATCTCCTGGAAATATATGTATACACTATAACTGCCAGAAGAGTCACTTAATTTGCACACGAGTGCGCAGAAAATAACTCGCCCCTTCTTCTTCCTTTTTTAATTAAACGTCCCCCGCGACCTCTTCCTTTTTTGGACATAACTTGGACATTTTTTGGTTTAGCTAGAGTTGAGTTGTATTTTTGGTCGACTCTGAGGTTATCTCTTTGATATTCTTTTTTTTTAGTTTTCATGCTGAGTTTCCCCTATTTATGGGTCCTTTTCCTTCAAAAACTGAAGCTTGTCAGCTTCTATTTTTACACAACGATGCTAAGATAGGAAGGGATCAATTTCCACACTTATGGCTCCTGATCTCACAAGAGCTTAGTTAACCTGCATTTATTTTAATTACGAGATTTTTTTCCCGGCAAGTTTGGATTTTTTCTGACAACTTTTGAATGGGTTTGACCTACATCGACCTCTGTATGTAGTTTGAAACACAATAGTTTTAGTCAAAATTTTTTTTCGTGCCTGATTTCACCGCTCTTTTTTCCACTTTTCAGTGTTTTTTCAAAACGTTTTTTTCGATTTTTGATTAGAGGTGAAATTTCTCCTTTTCAGAACATTTTTTTCTTCGCTTCTCCCAAATTTTGACCCTTTTTTGCAGTTTTTGAAGTATAGCCGTGATTTGCAGGACATGTTCATCGGAGATCAGAGCTCGGAACTCGTCGGGTGAAGTTCACGCCTCCCTGCCGACCGTCTTCGTCTCGGAATACGACGCCTTCTATCAATCACAGCGATCTTTTCCTGACGAAAGAGGTCTTTTTTCCTTATTCCGATACGAAAGCCAATATAAAGATTGAAAAAAAACGTGTAGTCGTTTTTCGAAGTCTTGAAAAGGCCCTGAGACAGCATCTGAGAGGTCAACACGCGTTTCAGATTCAAGTTTTTACTCATTCCATGCTGCGCCCGACCTTGAGCGGCTTACTAAAATTTTTTCATCCACTTTTTTCATCCCTACCATCTTTCTGGTGTCAACTTTTTTATTCATAAAAAGGAGGAATCTCTCAAATTTTCTTGTTTGAAACGCAGACATTCAGAAAGATATTCATCAAAGTTTAGATCTTCTGGCGCGAAATTTTGTCGGGAATTCTGAAAATCTTCGCATTTTTGACATTTGGAACGCTAATTCGCAAAAAAATTTCATTTTGGTAATTCATGAAATTATTCGGTTCCCGTTTAGTGAAAAAAATCGCTCGAGAGACACGTGATTTCTTTTTCGAAACAGTTTAAATTTTTTTAAAACTTGACGAAAAAAATTTCATGAGGACTTTCTTCAGAATTTGCACATTAAAGTAAGGGATTTTTTTGAAATCACTATCTTGGTTTTTAATGTGATTTTATACGTTTTTATTGTGAACTTTTTAGAGAAAAGCTTTTAGAAATTTCGCAATGTAAAGAAAACGATGAAATTATGAGCCGGCAAAAATGATTTCCGCTGAAAGGAGTCGAACCCTGGTCACAATATTGACATTGCGCAAGAGCCCACTACCACTACACCACGCCGCCAATTTTTAGCCGAAGGCTCCGAGCGCGCACATATACTTGACAAGTTTAGACGAGCTTTTTGTCGGTTGCTCGAGGGGTTTAGCCGAATTTCCTTTCTGATTCCGATAACTCTTACCCAGACCTATCAAACCCACCAAGTCTCAATTCTCAAATCGATTTTCAGAAGAGACCAGTTAGATAAGGAACTCTTAAGAAATAGTGGAAGTTTAGAGAACGACAGCCTCTTCGACGACCACTACGAACAGCAACATCCATTACGCCATCGGCTTTCCTCCACCATGAGCGGATTAACTTTCCAGGTAGTCTGTTACCTGAAGATTGTATTCCGGAACACAAATTAGCATAGTCGACTTTCTTCTTTTTTTTCTCCCACCTGTTTTTTTATCTTTCAGGAAGATGACTGAGTTTTCGATTTAAAAAAAAAATCAATCTTTTTTTCCAATGACTGGTCAATTTTCAGCTCCAATCCGGAATCCACAAAAAGACACTCAACTGGGATACCTTGGAAATTTCTCTCCGTGATCTTCGATCGGAAGCCTGGAAATTCATACAGGACATTGTGGGTTTCTTTTGATTTTTATTCGAGAATTCATTGAATTAATGGGGATTAGTCCAATATTTGAGGTTATTTAAGGATTGGCTAATCTTTTAATGTAGATTATATGGTTAACAAGGGATTTGATAGGATGCAAAAGTTTTTTTGAAAAGAAAATTTTAGGTTTCCAAAGGGAGATTCGGGTTTTTTTTGTTGGAAAAAAAAAGTTTTTTATCGTCTTTTCCTATTGAAAATGCCAGGTACCTTCAAAATGCAGAATAATACACGGTTTTCGACTTCAAACAACAAAGAACTACAGTAAGATTAGCCTTTAAAATTCACTGAAATACACTACGACTGCGCCATTAAATTACAGTAAACTACAGTTTTCACCCCCCCCCCCTTTGAAACAGAATTCAAGGTTTTCAAAAAAATGTCAACCAAAATTTTGTAGGTCCAGTTTTTTTCAGATCAAACTTCAATTTTCCAGACAAGTTTTTTTTAAAATGAAATTTGAGTTAAATGTTGGCGAAAAAACAACAAAACCTGCTATTAGGCTTTAATAACAGTGGAATTAGTTATTTCCACCCGTCAGATACTTTTAGTTACGAAGCTTGAAAAAATATTCAGTGGGGTTTTTCGACTCAAATTTTAAAAGACAAATAAATTCGATAGAATCGAGAAATGAAGTCAATTCATGAATAAATGGACATCGAACCCTTTTTCGTTTCAAGATGTTTTCCGTTTTTGACAGCGAAAGAAATACTGATTAATTCTCAAAGGGAGTTCTACAGTACTTGGATTATCCGTTTAAGTCGTTTCAAGACCGCAATTTGCAGATTCTTTAAAATTATTTCCTTTAAAAAACATAAATAAATAAACGAAGCGTAAAAAACCTGAAATGATTTTCTAAAAGTGCTTTACAGTACCAGGATCATCCGTGTCAGTCTCTACAAGACCACATTTTGCTGTACAAGCACGATCTCCGGTCCATCAACATCCTCCAGCTCATCACAACCAGTTCAGATGTGATCGATGGAACCCTGGTCGAGATCGTCATCAGCTGTACGCTCATTTTGATTTTTTCTCATTTTTTGAAGGTTGAGGTAGAAACGATCAGTTCAAAAAGTAAGAAAGTTCAAGAAAATTCAGATTTAAAAGCGACGTTAAAATAAGAAGGTGAGAAAGTACCCAATATGTTTTTCATCAGTGTTTTGTTCTTTTAGAAAATAAGAACAAGAACAGGAAGGAGTTCAAACTAGATTTTTCTACTTGGAAGAAGCTTCAGGGGTTCATAGAGTTATAAAGTGAAAAGCAATGATAGTTTGAAAGAATTTTAAGGATTTGAATATTTTTCCATATACAGTCTTCATGGTTTTCAACGAATCTGAATGGATTTTTAAAAAATAATGGAGAAGCAGAGTTTTTCTCTCGACTTTTCGATGCTTCAAAAGAATATGGTTTCCAATTTCCAAAGCTTATTATTTTTGTCGCTGATATTTTGAAGGGAAAGTTTAGTTCATTCAGCATCGAAAAGAGGAAAAAATCAGCTGGTAAGAGCCCTTTTGGGGCTCCTGGAAATAATAACGCTGCCATTATTATTTCGACTTCACATTCTTTCAAAATACCAGTTTTTGCGATTTGAACGCTCTGGGCCGTTGTGGACGCGATCAAAAAAAGCTTGAATTTTTTTAATTTTCAAAAGTTTTTGGTTTTTAACTCAAAAAATCGTTGCCGTAGGGTTTAAAAGAGCAGCTTGATTCGAAAAAAAAACCCAGAAAACGGCTCTTTGCTTTGAGACTTGAATAACATTTCTCCATGCTCCTGTAATCTTGCAAGCCAGGAATTTCGAATCTTTCTCATGTTCTTATTTTCGTTGGAAGATGAAGAATGTATGAAAGGGAAAGAGAATCTATGAGCTCCTAACAATTTTTTTTTTTTGAAACCTCATTAAAAAAAAGTTGTTGAGCGGAATTTCTCAGATTTTGCAATAGGTTCTGGTTATTTGCGAATCTTTTTTCCGTGTGAATTCATTTTTTTCTGCTTTTCGTACCCTCGGGCGCAATTTCTATCTTCCTTCTCATTATTTTCTTCGAGTTCTTCTTCTTTTTTTTCTCCCCACTGCTTTTGGAGTATTGTGCGTTTGAACGCGCGGCGCTTGACAGCAGAGCTCATTTCCTACATTTCCTACTAGGTTCTCTTTTTTTTCTCGTTCTTTTTTTTCGCTGTTCAGTCTGACGAGCCTTTTTCATAGACAATTGCCTTGATTTCATATTAGACGCGTATTAGAGAGTTTTCTGGATTTTTTTATAGGCGTTCAGAACATTTTCTCAAAAGTATGTTCAGAAAAAAAAGTTCGGTTTACTTCTTTATCTGTATAATTATGACGGTGAGAAAAATATTGAGATTAAAAGTCGGAAGACGAGAAAACTGTAGGGCTGGCCCTCACCTCACCGCAACGCGACCGCGACGCTTCAAGCCATTTAAAATGCGGCCGTTTTTTTGAGTCGATCAGAACTTGGTATTTTGAAGAAGCTTTAATATTTTTTGAAGTAATTCTACGATTTTGAAAATTTTCTCCGAATCGAAAATTTCGTTTGCGAAAAATAACTGATCTCACGGAGGAAAAGTCCATCCTCTGTGCACTTTCGCTGAGATTTACACGACCGATACAAGAAACTCTTGAATGCCCTTTTTTCTGGAGCACAAGAAAAGGCCTCCTAATGCGCGCTAATCATCCACCTTGTCACATCCTTTCCGTCGGCTTTCGCCACACACACCACACCCAACAAAACAGGGGCTTCTTCGATTCCACATGCCCTTTCGAGATAAGTATATGTTATGTTATGTGTGTTAGAGATCACAGAGTAGGACCATTTGGAGGCGAATTATCAGAGTGAGCTTTGATTTATCAAAGAGTTGGTGTAGGGATCCCTTTCGCACAACTTTATGTTGGAATAATTCTGCTTTTCTCGGAGTTTGCCGTAGTTCAATCGGACTCGGCTTGGCACAAAATTCGATACAGTCTTCCATCGAAAAAGCAAAGTAGTAGGTCGAAAAGAGAAGTTCAGACTTCTTTGCTATTCTTTTTCTGTCCCAGGCTACTGGTGAATGAACTAATCGGTATAGTAGTACAACCCGTTAGCCAAAGCTTGAAACTGTCTGATTCATCGACGGCGAGGGAAAAGAGAGCACAGACCGGTCAGACTTTATCAAGATTTTGCGAAGGTCTGTGAGAAAGTTTCTCTCCAAAACAAGTACGCTTTTAGATCTTAACATTTTAAAAAGTCTGGCTTTCTGTTTTGAATTAACCTTTGACGCTTTTCTCGGTTATAATTTTGAGAATTTGAACTTTGCAAAAAAGAAAAGCTCCTCCTGAGAAGTTTCCTAGCTCTCGAAAGCTGTGGCTCGATATCAAAGAAATCCCTCAAAATCCGTTTGAACAGGCTGCTCTCAGACTTTAAGCTTTCTTTTCTCGAAAACTAGATAGTTGTTCGAGTTGAGCCTTTCAGAATCTTCATCTGGTACATCCAGGAAAATTCTGACCAATTCTCAGGAAATTGTCAATCAAAAAGTGAAATTACCTTCTTTGTCAGTCGATTGATGATGATGAACAATTGCCGTTTGAATCACAATTGAAGTGATGAAACTCCTTTTTTTCGCTTTGTGATTCTTTTCGAAAGGGCACAGCCCCGCTATAATGCAACCACACTCTAATCTTGGCAGAAGGCGTGCTCTCTCTCTGTCGCTCATTCCTTATTAGGTTACACGAAAAGCCACTCGCCACTATGTCGGCAGTTCATCTTTTTTTTTTGATTTGTCTCCTTTTTTGAACTTTTTTCGAGAGGTTCTCTCTTCAGAGCTTTGCACAATCTTCATTTTATTTTTTAGAGTTTCTTTTCCTCTGAAAAATGTGAAACAAAGAAGGATCACTTGACATCCGAGATTTTTATTTCAGTACAAAAAGTAGTTACGACTTTCTCGAGCTGTTCAAGGTTGTTAAGGAAATGTTTCAGCTTTTGAATAATTAATGAATAAAAAATTGCTTTGAATAATTAATTTCGCTTTTTCCCCAGAACTAAGCAAAACGCATTCAAAACATAAAATGTGGTTTTCTCATATGGAAATATTCATTTTCGATTATTTTGACCTGATTTTAAAATTTTTTTTTCAAATATTTTTTTCCTGTGTATGGGAGGTACTGTGGGCTTCAGGGCTTTCGCTTAAAAAAAACACTGCAGTGAGCCCTTGGGTAGAACTGTTCATCTATTTTTTTAAGTTTCATTAAAGTAACTCAAAAAAAAATTTTTTTGAAGAAAAAAACTTGGAATCTGCTTAAAAATCTTTGCTAGGAATTTTAAAGACTTAAAGGAGCGCAGATGAATTTTTGAATAAGGTCTTGAGGTGAAGAGCCTTTTCCAATGTTTTTTAAAGCCTTTCGAGCATTTTCAACATATCGGGCAGGATTTTTTTGAACAAAATATATATTTTTTTATTTTTCCTTGCAGCGAAAAAAAATCGGAAAGTTTGCTTTTTAAGGATTTTTTTCAATATTATCGAAACAAAAAAAAGTTTACAAAAAAAAATGGGAAGTTCAATAGAGCACATTTGCTCGATTGAAGATAGCCAGGTGACAAGGCGATTTTCGGCTCATCCGCTGTCTATTTTTTCTTCTTCTTTTGGCGTGCTGCAACGGCGACATACACGTAGAGTGGCCCTCATGCCTCATTCCGTATGTGCTTCTTGTTTTCTCGCGCCTCCTTTTTTTTCATCATCTTGCTCACCTTTTTTACTTTTATTTTTCAAGTTTCGAATCCTGGTCTACCTTATCAGAATGTGAATTGGGGGGGGTTTTTTTTTGAAGAAGGTTCTGAAAACCACGATAAAAGGGTGGAGTGTCCAGGGAGCTACTGAAGAAAGTTTGCTACATAAATTTTTCAGAAAGTAAACCTCTTCATGGAATATTACAAAAGACCTAAGATGATTTATCCTCTTTCACGTGGGCTCTCGAACACTCCCTGAAAGAAAAGTTTTGCGAAAAAGTCAGATTTCTTGTCGATTCTGTATATTTTATGAAGCATAGTTTGACCCTTACAAAATAGCTATTCCAAGCTGGAATAGTTAAAGCAATCCCTTAGGCCTTTTTTCAATTTTTCTTGAATTGTTTACACTCCCAGTCATAAACCTTTATTTTATAGTTGATGAGATATCCGAAAACTTTTAAGTCTTCATAAAACTGAAACTGGAGACGCAGAGGTCAGAAAACAACAAAAAAAAAGAATTCGAGCCACTAAGTAAGACAAATGAGCCAACAGGAAAGGATCTTCTTCCAAAAACAAAGAAAAAGAGGAAAAAAAAATAGAATGATGTGATTGAAAATTCTACGCGTTTCTGGAATAGTTTTTTTTTCGAAAAACGGTTCTCACTAGTCAGAATGTCAATAGCAATCGATTGAAATGGAATGCTCAATAGTTGTAAATCTGCGTTCCGAAGGGGAACTCTCTATTTCTTAAATTCTGATCTTCTGAATATACGTTTCCTAACTGAAACGTACATCACTCTGGTATTTCTCATTCTTTGTCTCACAAAGATTTAACAATTATTTTCTTCAAGCACTCTTTTCCAATCAAAATAGACGTTATAGGTTGAGGTTTTTCTGTATTTTCAAGCTGGAATTTCATTTTTTTTTTTCAACTTTGAACTCTTTATTTTTTACTCGGAAAACGGTAAATTTCATCTTTTTTTTGATAGGATGTACAAAACTTCTATTGCGAATTTTCAATTAGAAGCCCTCATCTAAAAATTAACATATTTTCTCGCTTACCTAACTATTCAATCATACAATTACAATGTTAATTAATTTTTGAACGACTCGATTCATTTATTTTGAAGTTCATTGAGTAAACGTGATTCTAAAGAGTTTTTTAATTTTTTCAAATTTATTTCTTCATTCCAATGTTTTTTGATTCTCAAAGTACTGTAGGTAAAGTGCTGATCTTTTGGTTTAAAAATAGCTGGAAAAAAGGCATTTTTTTCCCGTCAAGAGAGGGACATCTTTAAGCGCTTTTACCATGGCGATTCGTCTATATTTCTTCTTTTTTTTTGGTTTTTTGCTCGGGAAAAGTGCGGCAGCTGAAAATGTGTTGTCCCGACGCTTTAGTTTTTTCCGTCTTCTTTTTCGTGTTCCTTTGAATTCTCGTCTGGGCAGTTTTCAGATCATTTTTTGAGATAAAATATCAGTTTTTACAAAGTCTAAACATTGCGTGGCCATGTTTTTCTATTGGATATCACGTTGTCATAAAGAGATTATCTAGCCATGTGCTCGAAGATTGACATCATCTTCTGAACCTTTATTTTTTCTTAGTCTCTCTCCAAGTTTCACATAATTTGTGTAATTTTTCTTCGGTTTTTTTTTGTTTCTATGATTTTCTGTTTTTCTTTCCCTTTTACTTCTGAAACTGAAGCTTCTTAAACTTTTTCTGACTTCTTTTTTCTTTTTTTCTTATGGTTTTCCTCGGACTTTCGGTAACTGCTCGCGAATTATCTTGGCCCTGTAGATGCCGGAGAAGCCGACCGCCCTGTGGCCCTCGCCAAGCCTCCGCCGTCAGCAGCAAAACCAACGGGCGGTCTCTTGCGCCACGCCGCCGCCTTCCTGCAGATCGCCAAGACTGGAAGTCAAGGCGTTGACTATCTCGACGTCGCCGACCTCTTCTTCTGCTTCTTCTTCTTCGACCGTCTTCAAATTCTCGACGTTGACCTTGACGTCGACGTCAACTTCTTCGTCGGCGGTTGAAAAAGAAAAAGAAAAGGAGAAGCCGCCCAAGCCGACAGGAGCCTTCAGCGCCCGTCGAACTATCATTCTCACCGGTTTAGTTATCATTTTGGGGGTGCGGCAAAGATTTCGACGAAGCTTTGAACTTCACTATGATGAGCACTTGTGAATTCTAATTTTTTTTAAAATCATATTTCGAAATCTCAAGCATCGAGTAGGAGCACTCTTTTGTTATTGTTTCTTTCTCGAGGCTTTAAAAAGTTGGCCTAAAAAAATAGGTTCATAACTTTGTATAAAAATAGAACAAAAAAAAAATTGTTAACGTTTTATTTGCAGTTTGATCATTTGTATTTCAGTTTCATTAGAAATGTTTGATGGTCCTTTTCCTGAAAGAAAAATGTTTTCTCCAATTTTCTGAATTTTTAATTTATCCAAAGACTCTTCATTCATCAAGCAGCAAGCCTTATTAAAAAACCTCACTCGGATTTTTTTTCTAATTCGAAATTAAATCCTTCATGTTTACTCTGACGTGAAGGCCAATTTCGCGCTTCCAAAAAGCTCTTTTTTCCTTTCAAACATTCAATATTTCCTTCCAAAAGATATGACCATTTATTTGGAAGAAAATGTGGGGATTTGTCGGCTACGTGTGTTGAGAAGCCGATAATAATAACGTTGGTTATTTTTTTTTGTTTTTTCCAGGGATTTTTGGTTGGATTAGAGGGGGATCCGCTCACGTAAGAGACATGACACGGCTCTTTTGTCCCGTGTTCTCTTGTCCTTTTGATAGAGAGACTAAAAATTCGGATAAATGAATGAGTAATGGGATTGAAAAACACGTGGTTCTGATTGAACAGGACGTGAATAAGCTGTTTCATTTTTTGCTTTTTCTTTTTGAGAGGAAGAGAAATAAATATGGAACAGATTGAAAAATTGAAATATAGATTGCAAAAAGAAATTTTTGAAAAAAAGAAGTTCGAAGTAGTCACTCTAGTAAATTTTTTTCAAGTTGGGAAGAGAAGAATAGTTTTGAAAATGGTAGAAAGAAGGGAAAATTCGGAAGAAAGAGTGTTAAAAAAACAGAAGAATTTTTGAAGTGGTTTTTTTAAAGCGAGGGGCCGGTTAAGGATTCTTGAACCTTTATTAGTTTCTTTTTAAACTAAAAAGTTTTTTTCCAAAAACCGTTTACTGGTGAATGTTTACTCAAAATTTATAAAAGTTTACTTCCCTATCGACAAAATGGAAATTATTGAAGTTTTTTTGTGATTCGAAAAGGTCTTCTCGCAAAAAAATCACCACGAAAGATTGATGGGATTGAATTTTTCCCTAAAAAAAGAAGATGAACTATTCTTTAATTTGAAATTTGAAAAAGTTTTTCCAATGTTAAAAGTAGGTTAATGTCTTGAAATTAAAATGAGCAGAAGGATGTGATCAAAACTCTGGTGAAACTGAATTTCACTCCTTTGCAGCTTGTCCTCAACACGAACGGCTGGTTGTCCATCCACACACGCTGTATGTTCACTCCTACAAGGTGCCGACTTTTTGCGATTTCTGCGGAGAACTGCTCTTCGGACTCGTCAAGCAAGGCCTCAAGTGTCATGGTGAGTTTCAGGTGGAATTAGAAAAGACAAGAAATAAGAGAAATCGAAAATTAATTAAAGAAAGAATGGGAGGAAGCTATGTTTAATTTTTTTGTAGTCAAAAAATTGATAGAGATGATGAAAAGTAAAACTGAAAATATCCGTTCATTTGCTCACAATCAGAATGCTCAGAGATTCGAAAGAATTTATTCCAGCTTCTCTTTCTGAAAATAATCCTTGGGAATAATTTTTTTCATGTATACTTCCAACTCGAACATCCTCAATTAAAAAAAAATATATTTTTTTAATTGGTCTACTAGTTTGGAAAACTTGAAGGATGTGGCTTGAACTACCACAAACGATGCGCCTCGAAAATCCCCAACAACTGCAATGGCTCGCGCCAACGGCGCCCCAGCGCCATCCCGCTCTCGCCCTCCAACTCGAACATCCTCAATTTGAACGATCGGAGGGTTGGTTTTAAAAAAAACGTTATATCACAATCTGATAGTCTTCTCTAATGTTTGAGCTGAAAAGAAGCGTCATTTTATTTGCGAACTTCCTCAGAAAGATTTCTCATTTTTGTACCGGATTTACTCCTGAGAGCCTTTTTCCGGGAAAATGACACCTCAAGGTCCAAGAAAACCATCAAAATCAGTTAAAATAGGCGATTCCCAGGCTTTGAGCCCCTAAACTGAAGAGTTGTACTATTTGAGACTTTCAGAATCTCAAATTGAAGCCTTAATGATTTTGAGAAAATTTCAAACTCATAGAAACGCTTCCTTGTTAACTTCTTTTCTGAGAAGAGCGTGTTAAAGCTTGATACTACCGTATTTACTCGAAAAAATTCAGCATTCGCGGCGAGACTCTTGCCTGGAAGCTCTGGATGCGGCTCGACCTTCTTCGACGATTGGCGGAGCGGCGCCGGATATTCTTGTCACCAGCGACGACTGTGGAGATCCTGTGGGCGGAAATGTTCGCTCTTGATCTTCCCAAAACAAGAAATTGGTTGATTCTGAAACTCTTAAAGCATAATTTATAAGTACTATTTCGTACAGAAGCATGAAGTTTTTTTCAGTTCGGAGAAAAAAAAAAGATCCCACGTAAATTGCCACAGCATATGGTCGCCAAAAGTTTTTAACTTTTTTTCTTTTTTCATTTTTTTCAAAGGTCTTCTGGTTCAGCAATATCTTCTAATTTCAGTTTTTGTTTTTTGAAGCAGAAAAATTGCTACTAACCTTTCTGTGTTTGTGAAAAAGCGTTGAAAGGATGGCTCTGAAAATTTTAAAAAGGAAAAGATCAAGATTTTTGATTTTATTTTTTACACATACATCTTTTGAACAAAAATTATTTGTGAGTAGAACCTGATTTTCGAAATTTTCGCGACATCCTCAAAAAAACTCATTTTTTCCAGTTTCTGAATGAATATAACTTGGCAGAAGTGTAAATCGAGACCTTCTAATTTCAGAACAAAAAAGTATTTTCTCGCAATAGATCTTGTTTTCAAGTTATGACGCTTTAAAATTTGCAAAATACACAAAAAATGGGAAAGCGGTATTCGAAGCATTTTGAAGCGTCACAACTCAAAAATAGATTATTTGCGAGAAAAACCGTTTTGTTCTTTCTTTAATTAGAAGGTCTCAAAGTACATTGTGGCCGAGTTTCAACCGGCTACCAAAACCCCTACCCTCGTCAAATCAGAATCGTATTGTTTTGTTAAATTTTCTCTTCTTTTAGTTCCTACAAATGCCCCGAAAAGACCGAAGTTGTTCTTGGAGTGGTCGCCCATTGTGGATGGAAGTGGCTGAGGCGACTCGGGTCAAGGTATTTTTGGCATTTTTCCTCATTTTTAAGTTCATATTTGGAACTTTCAGGTTCCACACACATTCCAAGTTCACAGCTACAAACGGCCGACAGTTTGTCAGTACTGCAAGAAGCTACTCAAAGGACTCATTCGGCAGGGGATTCAGTGTCGAGGTGAAGAATTGGGACTGGATATTTGAAATTTGAAAAAAAAGGGAAAAAAGATTATTATTTGGATTTATCAATATTCAGAGAGCTCACAATAACCTGATCATTCAAAATTTCTTTTAGCCTCGCCTAAGGTACAGTAAGATCTAACGCGTTTGTAGGGCTTGAAATAACGGAGAAATTTCATTTTAGAAATTAATTTCGTTTTCAGACTGCAAGTACAACTGCCACAAGAAGTGCAGTGACTTTGTGGCGAAAGATTGCCCGGGCAATGCCCAGGCCAGCCAGTTCTTCTTGGGAACTTCCGATGATGGTTTGTTGCTAATTTCGCCTTTTCAAAACTATCACAAAATTTTTCCCGATATAATAGGGCAATGATTGATTTTTCACATGATTAAACTACCCCGGCAAAAACTAACAACTTCTCTTTTTTACCCAATCTATATTTTCTTTCTTTTTTTTTGTATTTTCAGGTTTTGACTTCTATTCCTGTCAATTTGTTCATTAAGTTTGGATTATGATTTTTTTGTCCTGAAAATGTCCAACTATTAAACGGGTTTTTCAGAGGCGGCGCTGCGGTTTTTGTTCAAATTTATTTGGCAACAAACTTTCTGAGTTTTAAGAGTTTTATTTGATGGTCTAAATATCATCTCGATCCTTCAAATTTTCGAAAAATTGAATAAAATCGAAAAAAAAACTGCCACAGTCGTAACGCTAGAGAAGATCTAGGAAGGGGTTTTAATTGAAAAAGGCTTTGTTTTGAGCTTCTGGGCATTTTTAGGTGGGAAGAACGACCCGATAAGTTTTCGTATCAGACTTTTTTTTTAATTCGAAAGTTGTTTAGTTGATCCATCGTTGACTGTGTTCTTGAAATGATCTGAAGGATAAGGGAAGCTTCCACAAATAGGAATCTCGAACGACTAAAAAATAGTTCATTAAAAATATAAGCTGCCGATGATTTAATAGGATTACCAAAAATGGAGAACTTCATAATAAAAAAGGAACTGTAAACTGGAAAAAAGAAAATGCAGGGCGAAGTTTGTGCAGCAGCATGGAGAATCTGCGGATGTGCAGTGTTCCCTTCGACAGCGACCAGTCCTCGTCTGGTAGAGATTTTCTTTCTCGTCTTTCTGATGGTCTTACGACGAGTTTGAATAACTTTTTTGATGGGTTACTGTAGCAAAGATCCGTTTCTGAAAAAGACAAAAAATGATTGTAAACTCAAATCGACCTGCTTGAAGCTTCTGTTGCTCTTGATGAGAGATCAGGAGAGCGCAGGCAGTTAGATAGTTCCGAGTTGAGGCTCTTAAACTAGAATGTTAATTTAAAAAAGCCTTTTCGATCAAAAACAGCAAAAATGTGTGCACAAGGTCATGAATGCTCACGGACTTTGACTACAGTAATCTTTTCATCAGTGATTCTTATTCGCCGTTTCACCATCAAGCCTCTACTCAACACTGTCGTCCGCTCATGCCAACAGTATCAGCACCGCTTCAGCCTTTTTTGTTCTTGCCTTTTTTTACGCAATTTTCCAGCTTTCTGTGATCGTGATTAGATGCTTTACTTGTGCACCGATTGCCGTTTAAAATAATTCAAGGATAATATAAAGTTTCATGGAAAAGTAACGGAACGTGTTGGTCTCAATAATGGGAATGTACGAGTTAAAACTTTTTTTTTCTTCGAAGCTCCGAAAACTCAAGCTCTAAGTTTATTTCGTAGAATAGTGAAACTAGTAGAGAACCTATGTTTGAATATTTTTTTAATGTTGAAAATCTTTTTGCAATTTAGAAACAAAATTCCTGCGCAAGTTCTCTTAAAAATTGGTAGCCTTCTTTTCTCGGATTTACAATTTTAGATGTTTTCAAGTCTGAATATCATAAAAACTGGTAAGCACTTTCCAAAAACTAATCCACTTTTCAAAAAATTGAAGTTGCAGTGCACGAAACTTTTTCTGAGAGTTTTGTTCACTTAGTTAACTTTGGTATTACGCTTCTTCTTGCAAAATAATGACTGCAAATCAACTTTTAACGTACTGCTTCGATCTCTTTGTTGCACTAACTTTGATAGATTATTCTAATCACACTTTTACACGTTCATATATATTTAGCTTATTAACCGCAACAAACGTTGCAACTTTTCATTGTGACAGCAATTTCCAACAAGAAAGTTACAATATTTTTAATTATTATCAAATTTCAGGCGTTTCCGATGAGCGAGATGACGATCTCACGTTGAGAAGTGGTCATAAAAAGGCTCAAAATACGCCAAGCGCACCTTTACAGGTAATTCGATAGTGTTCGACCTTTTTTCTAATGAAAATTGTCGGTCTCTATTTTTAGATCATTCTGGTGGGAAACTTGCGCGAGATTATTTTTTCCTTCAAGTTACGATAAGATCTACTTTTTAAAATATCCAGACAGGTTTCCGAGAGACGTTCCTTTAAAAGTGAACTTTCGCTGTCAAAATTAGAATCTGTGACCTTTTGATTTCTGAGTTTTCAAACAAAGGGTTTTTCAGCAATTTCGACAAATCAGTGCCCGATTTTCATTCAGTTTTCTCGATTTTTTCCGTTTTCCAGGGCTCCGAAGGCGTTGGAAGCGGCGTTTCTGTGAGCGGTTTCAATGGAGGTCTCACCAGTCCGGATGATGATATGATCAATGAAAGCCAGGTTTTTTTCGGGATGAAATAATTAATTTTTACAGAGCTCAGTGAAGGTTCAAAACCAGAAAAAATTTTTTTGCTCACTTTTTGAGCGATTTGCGCTGTTATTTTGACTAGCTCCGTTGATTCTTCAAGCTTTTCGTTGATCTTATGCTCTATCTTCCAAAAAATAAGCTAGTTCATATCTTATTTTAACAACAGAAGTGAGCTGTATCTGAGAATTTTAACAACTATCCAAAAAGAGAATCAATTTTTGATCGATTCCGAGTCTCATTTTCCCCTTTTCAGAACATTCCCCTGATGAGAGTGGTCATGTCGAAGAAGCAAACGAAACGGAAGAACAATAAAATTCTGAAGGAAGGCTGGATCGTTCACTATACCGATCAGCAGAATATGGTTTTTGACTTTTCTATTTTTGAAGTTAAATAGAGTTGATTCAGAGAAAGAAGCATTATTGGCGTCTCGACACGAAAAGCATCATAATGTACCAGGACGAGAACTCGACGCGCTATTTCAAGGTAATCAGGAGACATGAAAATGTTTAATCTGCAAAATCACTTCTTACTGTAATGAATAATAAGCTGTAATTCAGGATTACTGTATCTAGTTTATAAAGGCTGGCTACTGTTGTTTAGTAGGCTATCATAGTCTTCTGTATATCTTGTATCTGAATTGAAGGGTATTTAGGCCATAATTATTCACTTTGGGTAACTGTAACCGGGTCATTCTGTCTCTTTAGGTAACAGTACTCTGCTTTTTGTAGCTTCCGCAGCTTTTTCAAAAGTATTTTCTTTAGTCTGATTGAAGGTTCTTTTAAAGTTAGTATAGCCCATTTTCCGTCATAATCGTGATACCGTAAACATATCACCTTCTAGGGTTACTGTAGTCTAGATATACACTTTTTTCAAAGTTAAATTGTTGGCTGAAGTATTTGATAAGATTAATGTATCACTAAAAAAAGGCTTAAAAAAACATATTGAAGCTTTTTTTACAAATGAGTCTAATTTAGTTAAAAAGAAGCCTGTTTTCGTACTTTGGAAAAGGCTCATTTTTCGTCTTCAGTGTTGATTTTTTTTAAAAATCAATAGAGATAGGTGTTTTAATAAAGTGCCTCAATGGGATTTCAGTGCTTCAGAAGTTAAAAATAAACAATGAAACCACTACCTAGTAATATCTTGTCATTTTCAAGCTTTTGCTTGTAGGAAATCCCGTTGAACGAGGTTTTGGACCTGAAAGTCAACGAACACGAGCAAGTGAAGAAGTCGCTGACGCACTTTTTCGAGATTCGAACCGGGGACTGTACCTACTTTATTGGTACGCCGTTCTTTTTTGTATCAAATTATCAACAAACCAACGCACTGGAACTGGAACTCGAAAAGAAAATTATTTATACAGGGTTTTTTTTTCTATCCATTTTTTCATCGACTAACCTACGCACAAGAACTGAAACTGCTCAAAAAAATATTTTTACAGGATCTGTTTTTTCTCCTAAAGTCAACCGATTTGTGGACCTTTTTTTCCTAATCAACTCTGATTAACTGGACTCTTTTCTAGGGGGCAAATGATTTGATGAGAAGTCCTTGAGGAAAGACATTTTGCGAAGTTTTTACACAGTTTCGGGCCATTGTTTCAAACTTTTAACCGCCACTTTTTCCATTTTGAAAATGGTCCTTTGTCTGTTTATTTTTGAAGGAATGTAGTAATTTTTTGGTTTTGAGAGAGTTTATAGTGGGACGTTTTACTAGTTAAAATGACCGTAAAATTCCATTCTGCCAAAGATTTTTCAATTCAGTATGTAGGGAAGTCTGAGGTCAACTTTAAAAAAAATGCATTTCACAATATTCCTTCATTGATTGATACTTGATTAGTGTGTTTTTGAAGAAGTTAATTTTGAATGATTAGGACTGATTTTAATTTCCTATTCAAAATAGTCGTCGGCGAAATTCGACCTGACACGTTATCTAGTGGGTTCAAAGCTCGCTTCTTGTTTCTAGAATGACAGATTTCAAATTTTATTGATAGCCTTATTTTTAGGTCGGTTGAAACTAGATAAAAAAGTTTCATAGTTTGATCTTTGTTCACAAAAATGACTTTTTTCTCCGGCCTTCAATGAATCGAAACAAAAAAAAAATGGTCCATTTAATTAATAATAATTTATTGACAGATCAGCGTGAACCCTAACGAGTTCACTTGGATCTAGAATTTGAGAAAATACATTATACAGTTATACATCATTTGAGTCGTGGAGGAATAGACAAGAAGATCTCGTGCAATGGTAGATTGACCAGTAAATTTTTTTAAAGACTTGGGGTGGTGGCTGAATTGAAATTTGGAAGTGAGTTTGTTCCAAGTAGGAATTGTTTTTAAAGAAAAAAATCATTAGAAAACTGACCTTGAGAACGCAGTCGAAGTGGATTTCGCCTTAAATTGGACCTGAGGGCAAAAAAAGTTCGAACTGGGGAAAATGATCGATACCGAAGACAATTTTTATGAAGGGTCAGAATGTCAGATATAGCTCGTCTGAGGTAAAGTGGAGAGATATCAAATTGTTCAAGGCGATCAGAGTAAGATTCAAAGGATAAGTTGGACCTAATAAAAATTTTACGAGAAAAAATTCTGAGAGGAGATTCCAGTTTGTAGCAGAGATCAGAATTAAGGGAGGGTTAAAAAAACTTCGGAGCAGTATTCTAGAATAGGCCTTACATAGGTGTTAAAAATTTTGAACAATAGATCAGGTGATTTGGAACGAAAACAGTTGAGTATCTGATTGGAACGAAGAGTTGCTAAAGAAACGATATTGTTAATGTGAGGAGCGAGAGTTAGTTTATCATCGATAAGAACACCTAGATCGCGGATAATGGTTTTTCTGGGAATAGACAGACCATTGATTAAATAAGTTGTTTTGGGATTGAGGGGACCAAGGTTGATAGCAAGTCCATTAACCTTGATTTGAAACACTCAAGGTGTACGGAGAACGGTTCAACCTCGAAAGGTTAATTTTTAGGCGCGCCTGACCGAAAAACGACTTCCGCGCGCCAATTTTGAAAGATTTTTACTTAAGATCATTTTTTTCAAATTTCTAAATTGAGCCGCAGCGCGACCTCAAGGCGTTGAGCCATTCTGAACGCGACCTTCTCAAGTGAGGACAAATAGAGTTCATTTATTGGAGTTTTAATATTTTTCTGAATCTAGCTGACTTGCCCCGCCTCGATAACTTGAAACGGAACATTTATTGAGAAATCGGCCTCGACCAACATTTTTCTATCTCTTATTTTATCCCAACTGAATGACACCTGCTGTCTTTTTTTCTTCAAAAGTCTGGTCCATCAGACTTTTTGTGCCGCTGTAAAGTTTCTTCTTCTCCTTCGACCTTTTCCAACGACTTTTGCACTTTCAACGGTGAATGGACAGCCTTGAGAAGTTTCTCGAGAGAAGATTGATCGAGATCAACCGGAAACATTTGTTGTTGTTTGTAGTTTGTTATGGAATATTCCCAGGAATAAAATATTTTTTCAGATCAAAGATCCATTTTGATCAAGAATCTTTCCTGAGATTTTAAAAGGCGAATAGAATGAACTTCGAAATGGTCTCGAGAAGAAAAGCCGTTTTCAAGGATTTTCAACCTGAATGAAAAAAAAAATTCGAAAAATAGTTTAGAGCCTCGAAAAATCTGGACGTGGATAATTTTTAATGCATATTCGAAGGATTTTCCGGATATTTTCGCTTTTTTTCATTTTAGGAAAGCTTTTGATGATGTTAAAAAGCTTTTTAGACAAATCAGATCGTTCAGATAGGCTATATATTATTTGAGAACTTTTCAAATTTTTGAAAAAAAGTTGTCGGTTTTTTTATCTGAAATTCCTTTTGCTTTGGAGCTGATTTTTTTCAAAATACGCATTTTTTTCTACTCTTCATTATTTCGCCTTTTTTTAAAACTATCCAACTTAGATTTTTTTTTAAAGGAATTTCCGAAATCTTCATCTCTGATTTTCGATCTTCATTCAGCAAATCTCAAAAAAAAAACTGCGAGAATATAAAATTTCACGTCGGAAAAAATGGCCTCTGGCGTGAAGCGGCTCACAAAGCCGGTTCAGCAGCTCGAACAGTAAACAAAAAGAAAATGGGAAAAAAGCGAACAAATAAAACATTTGGACCCCTGGAAATAACCAGGAAATGCAAATAAAACCACTATTTGACTGGTTAATTCGGAAGTTTTGCTCTCTAAAATTAGACTCAAACTTGAAAATTGTTATCTTATCAGTTTTAAAAAGGGCCACATTTACGCACAAACTTAGGAGCAAGGGGCAAAGAACAATTTTTGATCTTTAAAAAAATAATGAGTGGAAAACAACCATAAATATCATTTTTATTTTTTTATTTTTTTCCAAAACATCCTCGCAATAAATAGCTCCATCGAGATCTGGAAGCCATTTTACCGGGTCCAAAAACCAAAAATTTTTTTCTTTTTAAATTTTGACAAAAAAAGAAGCATTTTTTTCGTTTTAGACTTAAAGAAAAATTGAGCTTTTAAAAAAATCCATAAAAACATTGATCATTATGTTTACAAAAATTTGAAAAATTTCATTAAATACCTGGTATTTGAGCCATTCTTGGGGCTCAAAAAGATCTTTTTCTTCATTTTTTTGATCTTTAGAGTTTTTTTCTCGAAACCGAGACGCTTAAGTCGTTTTTTGGTCCGGTCCATCTTCCTTCCGGAATTTTAGAAAAAGGATGAGAAATGAAGTTCATACGTCACTCCCGAATATTCACTGGACTGTTGCTTAAAAAAAGGTTTTTCTTGATGCGCAAAAAGATGGAGCTGTTGTTTGCGATTGCCGATGACATTTGAGATTTTTTCCGCGAAGTTTTTTCTCCATTTTTCCGCGTGTGCGGAAGAGCACACATGCGTCATTTGCGTGTATTGCTCACTTTTTACGCATTTGCTCTGGATTTAAAAAAAAATGCAAACACAAAAATATTTTCCGTTCAATTTTCTTCAATTTTGTTGGCAGGTTATTCTGTGATTTTTCCAATAGGATAAAAATTTGAAAAATAGGTTGGGGTTATAAAATTAACTTTTTCTTTAAAAAAATGAAAATGAAACCTTTTTCCGCAGAAAATTACAATGATTGGCCTTGGGTAAAAAAATTTTTTTCGATCCGTTTTTTTCCCCAAAAAGTATCCCTTTCCTGATTTCCACTTCTTTGATTGTAGTTTTTTGTAAATACAAAGATCCATCAGCATCAGTGATGAGGAAAAAAAAAAAAACGACCCCGGAACTTTTTTCACTGATTTTTTTATTTATAACTACTTGTTGAGGCGTTTCGTTTGTTTTCAGCTTGGAAGAATGTTGAGAATTTTCCAATCAGCTGGATTTCTTGCAAAAATTTACACTGTAGCGTCAAAAAAAAAAAAGATGAATGTTCAAATTTTGAGCTGAATAATGCGGTGGAATGCTTCCATCAAGTCCTAGGAAAATTTGTAAGTTGAAATTTAAAAATTTTTCCGGTTTTTTTATAGTTTTTGAAGCTGAATCAAGAAATCTCCGTGGAAAATTAAAAAAAAAAAATGAAATACCTTCCCTTATTTTTTTTATATTTTTTTCTCTATGTGTAAATCTGTAAAGTGAAATGTCTACCTGAGTAGGATATTCAACATAGAGGCGGGTTTTCCTGCCCCGCCATCCATTCAGTGCAAATATTCCAAGCGAACTGTCAGAAAAGTTCCCTGCGTAAGTGTGCTCTTTGGAGAAGACTTGTAGAAGAGCTGGATTTCTGTCCTCGTTCTCCTTGATCTCGCTTTTCAAGTTCATTTCGCAAGGTTTTACGGTGCTCTTAACCTCTCAATCGCTCTGAAATCGTTAGGCAATAGTCTCTTAAGAGATTACTTGAAACTTTTTCGTAGTTGATTTTTCTAGAAAGAACTATTTATCGTATAACTGTTGAAAAAAAGTAAACTTTTTGGGTTGGGAAACGGCTTTCTGCTGTATTTATTTTTGCGTAATTCCCTTCAGTGATCTCTTGAATTCCTCCTCTCAAGGGATCACTCAGCGGGTTTCCCCAAGAAAAAAAAAATTTATCCCATCCAGGCTCATTCTCCGATCATTGAGAAAGCTTTTTTAGATAAATTTTCATAAGGGATCCCGTAATTTTTTTTTTCTCAGGAGTTTACTTGGACTCTTTTCTTCAGTCACTACTTAGCTGTTATCTTGAGAAACCACAAAGTTTAATTTTTTTTTTCCCCAAATAAATCGAGCCTAGCTTCTTTAATGACGGCAGTTTACCTTGCTCTCAAAAGTTTGTTCCAATTTTATTCGCCCATTAAACTCGATTCTCGTCAACCCTACTTTCTACCGCCCGATTGCATCTTCTTCGACGACGACCTTTTTTTTGGCCAAGTTTCAATGAGAAGAAGAACGAGATTGCACCTACAGGCTGTATATTGCTTTCAAGTAGTTCTTAATGACTTCTTTTTCCGCTTTTTTTGGGGCAAAAATCTTCGTTTTTCATGAACTTTTTTCATTTAGCTGGCTTTGAAGAGGCTTTTTTTTTGAAAATTTTCCTATTCCGTTTTTTCTAGTGCACTTGAACTTTTGGTACAGAATGAGAAAATTATTTGTGTGGAATCAGCTGAAAGTCTTTGAAAACTTGATTATAACGCAAGTTTTTCTTTTTTCCCAGTTTTATGTGCTTCAAAAAGAAACTTGCAACTTTATTGAACGGTTTTTTTTAGAAAGCTTTTTTTTTATAATTGAGTTTTTAGTCGTTTTTTTTTTCTCTTAACGTTCAACATACGGATTTAAAAAGGAA